AGTCGAAACCTAAATTTTGACAATTAAATTTCTCATACATTCCGAAGTTAAGACGAAATATTGTCATTTTACTGTATTTGCGGCCATCTTACAGGCCATTTTGTCCGCCATATTGGATTAATCAAATTTCTCGAGCTCACATTTGTAAGATACTTAAACGATTCATGTGTTCAAATAAAACACACTGGTGTACAAGAATGTTAGTGTTGTCATTGTATTTTTTAAATATGTTATTAATATATATTTGTTGTTTCCTTGACAGGATGGGGTGGGTGGGATCACATTTACTAAATTTTCATGCATTATATCTACATTAATTGTGGATCTTTTCGTAAGTTCCTAAAGAATTCAGGCAGATTTTGAGATATCACGCGACATGATTGAAACTATGGAGATTACATTATCTTTAGTTTTGTAATACTTTGAAAATGAAAATTGAGTGATTTTGTCCTGTTTTTGACACATTTTTGCCCATTACTCGACTTAAACAATTTTGCTAATTGTTTATTTGTTCCATTGTATGTTTCCTAAGTCAGCACACTGATTTATTTATAAAATGAGCATTGAAATATGCAAACTGACTTGTTTAGAGCCATTTATTTGATTTACTTAATTCTGACACACAAGTGTGCATTTTACCACCAAAACATATGTCTGCCACCAAAAGAAATCACCACAACCATCGTTTTCGAATGCATAAATGACATCTTGTGGAGAAAAATGTGGTTGTGCTTTGTTCTTCTGTGGGGAGGGGTTACTCCTTAAATAAGCCTCTTTCAGGGTTGGCCGCTAATATATAATTGTTTAAAGTGGCATTTAGCCACTTTCACGCACTCACTATAATTGTCGGCACAATCGTAAAATATCTTACTTCAACCACAGTTTCCAGCTTTTGGTGCCACTATGAGATCAGTGGAGACATTCAGATATTGTTAAAATTACATCCGCAACTTTGTGAGTGTGTATTTTTAGATAACCATGAACTATACTCCCTTATAAGAGTTACCGCCGAAATGCAAAGCATACTGTATGTTTAGTCCCATAGTCTTACACGTCAATTATTCACGCTGTCCTACACAGACACTTTGTCAGTGTTTCCCGCCCTTCCCCGTGACAAACATTGCCTCCCTTCGGTCTGTCCGGGACAACAGAAACCTATTTTACTTATATAAAGACTTTTCACAAAAAAAGTGCGTATATAGCAGTGTATTATAATGTATAACAATGATTGTAACGGGGTTACATTGTTTCTGTTGAGACTCGGTAGACGCTCGTTGCATGGTATTTCGGTAATGTAAGCAGTCGTCAGAAAGTTACTATTTTTCGATGCTAGTGCAGTGTGTATACTTCCGGTCCGTGAGTGAGAGTATGTTATAGAAACATATGGAAATTTCTGTAATGTTCTATGTTGTGAGCACTGCATGAGAACCTTCCAGTGGCTTGGCAGGTTGTATATAAGGGGGCAGTGACGTGTTTGTGGGACACAAACGCAATTTCATCACGTCAAGAGCAGCCTTCATGTGAGGATCGCTCATCATCCCTAATTCCCTGCCTAGCACGTCACGGAAGCTTGACCAGTGTCGCCGCTGGGTCAATATATATATATATGTGCTGATTTGTAAACTTTGTTAATTTTGTAATACATTTGTTGATTGTATACCACTTGTTGGTTGTTTGTTGGTTTCACACCGGGCTCTTTTACGTACAGATTTTAGGATTTACACATTGTCTCAATTGGTTAATCGACACGTAACAGTAAGAATACATCGATCCATATCGATCCATTGAAGATGGCTGCCGAAAACCCATCGTTCGATATCGGATCGCTTACGAATGTTTTTGGCGACGATTTTGACAGGGGTTGTTAACCCTGACTAGTTTCATGATGAGATGATAATGGATGAGATTGGTACAAACATTAATTGGATACAAATTGTAACGTTTATGGGGACATGTTTGGTAATTCTCACATTGGAAAAAATCACAATAAACTACGTACAAAACAAGCAAACATATTAGAAAAATGTATGAAAAGCTTCAAACATGACAATATATTGTTACTTGTTTTCGGTATATGTAAACTTGACCTACGGTGTAATTACAGCACATTAAGGCCCGATACAAGCGGCAGGGCTTACACTGGCTAGCGAAGGAATGACGTCTGCTGCTTCTGGTGACTCTCACCCTCTTCATCACCCTCGGCACTGATGAGATCAGGGCCCCGTTCCTAAAAGTGATCTTAGCACTAAGGTGATTGTAAGTCCCATACTTTAACATAGGCTTACGATCAACGTAGCACTAGGATCGCTTTGAGGAACGGGGCCCAGGTCAATAGTGATAAACACGGAACGCACAAAACTTGATTAAGATATTCAAACGTGGAGAAGAAATATATTTAATAATCATACTGATGACTTATGTATATAACAAAGAAAACGTGTCGGCATTGAATGAGTTGACTTTGCCTCGCGTAACCTACCGTATGAAATGCAAAAATATCATTGATATTTTCAAGAAAACTCACAAGAACAGATCCCGACTCCCACTGGCATGGTACACCGCACAAGCACTTGGCCGAAACAGTTTGTTAAAAATGATGAAATCAATTTCTGAAGAGGCAAATTTAAGCAAAGTATACACATAGCACTTTGTCAGGGCCACAACAGTCACACTTCTTTCGTATGCTGGCGTGGGATGCCGCGACATCATGAAATTGACAGGGCACTGAAACTGTCACTCATGTCTTCGGCTCATAAAAGGCTCAGCCAAGCTCCAGGGTGATAGCAACGTCATGCCAGCAGGGATAGTTAGTCAACAAGTTGATGTTGAACAGCATCACACTCACAGTACTGGGTTGTCTTCTGGTTTCCTGCAATTCTTGAACAGCTCTGTTACTGTTATCAATTTCTTTGGCAGCCATAACTGAGAGTGCAGCGCAGTCACAACCGCGACAAGTTAGGACAGTTCTCAATTCAGGGTGGGGTGGTATAATTTTTAGTTTGTTTAATTTACTGGGGTGGGGGTGTTTCCTGAACGCCTAAGTTTAGTCAATATATCCGAAATTAAAACATATATCTTCGGAGTATTATCAGACAAATACTTATGAAAAACTTAATTGATTTGAATCGTTATTTTGAACAATGAGAATTTTAATGTTGCACTTTAGTAATATTTGTTACATTTACAATTACCGGTGACCCCTTCACAGAATGGTGTAATATTTCCCTTTCTGTCGAGCAATATTCCTTGGCACAACTTTTGAGGTACAATAGAGCATGCTCTTTCTACGAATATTTCAAAGGGCGTCTTGAGACTCAAGAGCACAAACGTTGTTTAAACAAGGTAACAACATTCACGGCCTCAGTAAACCATTTAAAACGTTGTAAGGTAGACATGTGGAGGACATTTCCAAATTTAACGCGTCAGTGACAAGAATGATGTCAGATGCAATTCCCTATTTTGACTTGTACCATATGTTCCCGTGTTTTGGGGGTGAACAATGGACTTGCCTTTGCATGTGTTTGTGACGGGTGTCAGCAGTGGGCCGAGACATGCTCATCTAGTCGCGAACACCTGGTATCATCATTATTTGTTAGTGATTCGAATCTTACAATCAACTCGTGTGAAATAGAATATAAATATAAATATTATATACATATATACCATGCACCTGGGTACACGGGTGACCCACCTGACAAAGGAGCCGCACTTCTCCTTGCAGTGTTGCGGCCTTCATACTAGGCGTGTCAGGCGTGTTCGAATCCCGCTTCATCCTGTCTGTGTAACTTTTGACGCTCTGTCCCCATGCTCGAGGGTTTCCCCAAAGCGGTAAACTAATATGACATGATTCGCTTTGGGCTTTATACCCACATCAAGCTAACACGCCGTGATATGACAGAAATACTGTTTAAAGAGGCTCTGAACTAAACTAACTCACTCACTCATTTCCATGCGCTATGAACCCTGTTAAAATTATTACCAGCAATGTGTGCTCTCTTAATGAGGCGATGAAATGGTCAGGTTAGGTATTAGTTTATTGCATTGATCGAACTCCGACGGCGTAGGTAATGATATTTGCTCATAATATGAATAACTGGATTGTCTAGTCCACACTCGATTATTTACAGGCCGACGTCATATGGAACATTGCCCAAAACAAATAATCATGCTCTGTGAACGTTTGTACATGCACGTATCATGGGTCTGTGGCCTTCTACAAATAAATATGTCTGTCTAAACACTTTATGTTAATAATTACCTCGACTGAACATGGCCTAGATGTTCAGGCGAGTTTGTTATATCTCAGTCATGTGCAAACTTTATATGTTTATCTAAGGTTAAAACGTTCAACATCGCCTTGCTCCGAGTCTCTACTGAAGGATAAATCTATGTATGTTTAGTAATCTTTTCCTTATAATTGGCAAGTCTAGATACGCCGACCATACAAGGACGCCAGTCTTTTATAGGGACAACGTGTTCTTATCATTTATAGTATCTAGAGATTATTATTTAAAATAATAATCATTGCCTTAAAATATTTTGAAAATCTACTTTAAACCCATTGCATTGATTTCGCCCCGCGGTTTTAGACTCACTGCGTATCTGCTGAATTCGTCTTCGCAACTCAGACGGAAGTACCGTATTTGATGTCTTATAACGTCCGGGTGTACGGGGTTTTACGATTCGAATGGGCTTGTAACCATGGGTATTAATGTATAAAATTAATTTCTAAAATCCTTGATCAAGATACCACGTAGATCTATCATGTCCGTTAATATCGTAATAATTATTTTTGTAATTAAATACATTTTTTATCTGATTGAGATTACCAGTTTACTCACGTCAGAAAATATTAATATATATATAAATGAGGTGGAATTAAGTCGCAATAGCCCTTAATTATTTCGTTAACAGAATTCCCTACCTGCGTCTATTTTGCATGCAGACATTTGAAACAGATCGTTATAACCGTCAGTACGTTATATCCGTGTCGGTTATAACCATGCTCTACTGAAGCTTAAGTCTCGTTAATCTAAAATGGAAAAGGGAATTTTAATCATCGCACGTCAACAACAAAAAAGCGCCTGGGCGATTACTCCACTGAATACGGTATGACGGGCAGGGTCTCCAGCCGCGATGGCGTGTTGGGCGTCGCCCTAACAACACAACTGGAAATTTCATCTGACAAAAAATAACAGTTACACAGCGTCACGTGATCAGAAAATATGCCGTAGAGCGAAGACCGGGGGGCTAGGCTATCAGTTGACGAGAGTTTATAGCGTGGGAGAAGGGACCGTTCAATAGTTAACAAGGGGAATAGGATCGCCAGGTCGTCGTCAGTCCGAAAGTTTAGGTGCCTAGTTTACTGTAGACGGAGCCTGGCTTGGTGTGAGAGTCACTTGAAGGTAAGCAAGCCTTCTTTATGCAGTCATCATTTATTCACATATCGTCCTTCGTATTTCATGATAGTTCCAATGTAAACTTGTTAGATTCACTTTTGCTGGTATTTAAAAACAAAACAATCTTTTGACACATATTTATTCCTGCGAAAGTGAACTGACGCCCATTAAATCGAACCCGTGAAGATCCTGGTCAGAATAGGTCTTCAGCAACCCATGCTTGCCGTAAAACGTGACTATGCTTGTCGTAAGAGGCGACTATGCTTGTCGTAAGAGGCGACCAACGGGATCGGTTGGTCAGGCTCGCTGACTTGGTTGATGCATGTCTTCGTATCCCAACTGCATGGATCAATGCTCATGATATCAATCACTGGATTTTCAGGTCCAGACTCGATTATGTACAGACCGCCATCATATAGCTGGAATAATGCTGAATGCGGTGTTTAACAACAAACAAACAAACAAACGGAATATATAGGTGGTGTGAATGGGGCTTAACGGCGCATTGTAGATTAGTTCACTCATATTGCGACATGTATATATACGCGCGCGTGCGTGCGTGCGTGCGTGCGTGCGTGCGTGTGTTTGTGGCTAATTGTACGAGGGGGGACTTATGCCACTTTATAGTACTCGCTCCTAGATATACTATTTCGAAGTTTAATATGAATACCCAACACTGATACCGTATACTGTCTCCGCACCGCCGGTCCTTGTTTCATCTCCCTGATGCCGGACGCCAGGAAGGGAAACAACAAGAAGCGTCTATTTACGTCTTTTGGTGTGACGCTGCCGTGGATTGAACCCCGGACCTTCCACTCGCCGGGCAGACGCTCTTTCTACTAAACATATATTCATGATCAGGAAGTATTATACACTAACATAACAATATAATATATCCATGTTATTCGTATCTCAATTGCGTGGATCGATGCTCCTGATGTCAATCACTGGATTGTCTTGTCAAGACTATTTACAGATTATTTACAGACCGCCGTCATGTAGCTGGTATATCGCTGAGTATGGCGTTAAACAACAAACAGAATATTGAAAAATGTGAGAACAATCCGACATTTAGTATGACAACGGACCCGGTCATAATTGTATGAAATCTTTATGATATCAGTCGGTATGCTTTCGTGATGAAACCATGTGTATTGCCATGGAATGCTAGATATTACTGTTCATAAATCATAAATAACTGTATAGATGCTTATATATATATACTACTAAAAAAAAGATCACCCGATTCTTTCATATTACTGTAGTTAATCTGCCATGACTTCTTTTGAGTAGCATGTAATAAAAAATCACTACGTTGTATAAACATTAACCTACGCACCGAAATCACAGAGTCCAACGTCCAGTATTATCTTGAAGTGCCATGTCCTTCAACTTCAGCTTCATATAGTCGTTATCTCAGTTTTCCACTCTGCATGCTTCATCACTTCAGGCTCTTAAAAATTACCGTAATGAGATCCATGAAAATCGTTGAAAGCAAAGTACAGGCTTTGAGAAAATATGCCCGTGTTGATTTTACTTGTAACGATGTTTGTAATTGGTGATGTTGTTCAACAGTTTACAGCAGTACCCTGTACTTCTTTTTTTTAAGCCGCCTTGCGATAACTCATTATTGTGTCGAATATCACAGCCCGTTCTTTATCAGACAACACGTCAAATACCTCGTCGCGTACCCCGACAGAGCAAACCTCAAACCAGGAACTACTTCTTGAAATGTTATCCAGAATATGTCCTGGCAATCTAACCTTTCGATGCATCAGTACGTGGGTATGGTTTTACGCTTTTAGCAGTTTTCAGGCAATATCACAAGTGGAGACACCAGAAATGGGCTTCACACATTGTACCCATATGGGGAATCGAACCCGGGTCTTCGGCGTGACAACCGAACGCTTTAACCACTAGGCTACCCCACCGCGTCCCCTTTTTGAGTACATGACTGACACGTAATAACTATTTACCCTTTATCCTGTGGGGGGCTTCTCGACCTTACTTCCCACGTTTGGCTTTACAATCCCAATGCCGTGTGTTTTATGCAGCGTACAAAAAAATAAGTGTCAATGAAATATTTCAGTAAACACCAGAATCAATAATGGAGTTTTTTGTCTTTATACAGAAGTAAATTCCGTTTAAAAAAAGTATACACCCATGTTTGATGGTGGATTAAAATGAAACAAACAGAAAATGTTTTTTCGATGGTGATGTATTTTATACGGGTGTCTAGTTATGTCTTGGACCTTACAGTGTTTCGGCGACTGTTTTCAGCCTAGTAACGTTTGGATAACGTTTATAATATTTTGGTCAAATCCAATTTTCGAGTCTTTGCTTTCTTTTCCCCGGCAGATTAGATTCGACTCATGTCGCACATGTAACGCACAAGCTTCTTGTTGAAACCAGCTGCAGGCATAAAATTAAATCTTTATTAACTCAGATGTAATTGTACATATTAGTTCTGTCTTCTTTATCAAAACAAAAAAAACCACATTTTTATTACTCGAAATAATAATTTACCGAAATATTGCCTGCATACCAACGCCCTTCCTTTAATTTTGGAAATATTAAAGTGAAACATAATATCTCGAAAACAACATTGTGCCTATTCGTTTATTTATTAATCAGATCTTTATTTAGAGGTAGCGAGAACTTTAAAACTCGAAGCATGGTGTACATTTCGGAATAATTCAATAGAGTCAACACGAGGCAGGGGTTCAGGCGGTGCTAGTCGACATTTACTTGACATGGTTGAGGTCGAGCCTAGACAGAGGTGATGTGTGTCGATGATCGCATACTGTCTATAATAAGTTGCTGGATGAATGGACCTGTTATTATGTACACTATGTCCCACCCTTTAGGTGGAGCCGAAGCATATGGTAAGCACAATGGAGATTGCTTTTAGCACAGTATACTTATGATTATGAAATTTATTTCGTCGTTTAGATTTTTAAGTGGCGGCGAAATGACATCACTACAGGGCGCGTCACACACCTGGGGGTCACTGCTATGTCGCGATGTCTGTGGGTGGGTACCTTGCAAGTACTCTGGGGGAATTGGTGAGGCGTGGGTGGTTTTGTTTTGTTTATTTGTTGTTTAACGCCGCACTCTGCAATATTCCTGCTATAGACTGGCCCAGACAATCCAGTGATTGACATCATGAGCATCGATCTACATGTAAGCAATTGGGATACAATGACATCCATCAACCAAGTCAGCGAGCTTGACCACCTGATCCTGTTAGTCGCCTCTTACGACAAGCGTAGTCGTATGAGGTGACTAACGGGATCAAGTGGTCAGGCTCGCTGACTTGGTTGATGCATGTCATTGTATCCCAATTGCGTGGATCGATGCTATATCGATGATCGGATATCGTTCAATGACCATCAAATAGCCAATTCCCTTCCACTGACCTGACCACCCTATGCCGTTAGTCGCCTCATACGACAAGCATAGTCGCCTTTTACGGCAAGCCTGGATGCTGAAGACCTATTCTACCCCGGATGTTCACGGGTGAGACGTTGGTGGTGCCAGGATTATGAACTACGACCTGCTCCGTTTGATGACTTTTCCCTCTTCTTCTTTTGACACTGAATAGTTTTGTAGCACTGAAGCTGGAACTTGATACTTTTATACCTTAGTTTCATGCATGACGTCATCATTTCAGGCACGTGCAAGCAGCAGAGCCCGGATGAAGCCATCATGTCGCGTCTTAAAGTTGCATTTGGTGAGAGAAAAGTCGCAATGACCATTGTTTCTTACACTTACACGTGCATGCACATTAACACCTACTTTGGGGCATCCGTGTTAAACTGCAGCATGGTATCTCCGGACTCTTGACTCCGGACTCCGGTCACACACGTGAATGTACGTCGCTATATGAGTGAAATAATCTTAAACGCGACGTTAAGTTCTTTTCACCTCACCTATTTACCGGTGCACGAGTGAGTGAGTGAGTATGGTTTTACGCCTCATTTAGCAATATTCCAGCAACATCACGGCGGGGGACACCAGAAATGGGCTTCACACATTGTCGGGAATCGAACCCGGGTCTTCGGCGTGACGAGCGAACGCTTTAACCACTAGGCTACCCGACCGCCCATACCGGTGCACGAACACATATGGGAACGCGCTCATTGACTTGTACCTGTACACTTACATTGACCTGTTTGATTACACGAGTAAGCGTACGCAACATGGCGGAAATTATGCCTACGTGACTTCAACATGATTTACTCACAAACGAGTAAATGTAAATGTACAATAATGTGGCAAACTATAGCATGAAATGTTCACCTGCTGCAGAAAACGATAACAGGTTAAATAAACGAGCATTTGATGGATTTCTAATTCTATAGTATGCATGAACATACTTTAATCCTTCAATATCACACATCCTTTTCCATTAGGACATTGAATCCACCCCAAAGACTCGAATGGGTTGTAGCAGGTCATTTTCTGAGGGTGGCCACTCCCCTTTCTTTACATCTGATGAGGTTTTGTATGCGCATTTCCTGCCATGATAACATAATGGTTGTTAAATTAAAAGTATTAATAATGGCTTACATATAGTGTACATACACTGAAGTTACAAAGGACCAAAGAGGAAACACACATACACACACTGAAGTTACAAAGGGCCCAAGTGTAAACACACACACACTCTCTCTCTCTCGCTCTCTCTCTCTCTCTCTCTCTCTCTCTTCTCTCTCTCTCTCTCTCTCACACACACACACACACTAACACAATTTTTAAAATCTGGATCTGCTCCTGCATTTAACAAAAAAATATTGTTTAAAAAGGTTGACTATACAAGAGTTTAGTTATACATTTTTACTACCTTTAAGAAGTCATTTCGTGTTTTTAAAACGGATTTCAACATTTTGATTCCACAAACGGTTAATGCAGCGAATACAGATTTCCTAATTGCAATTACCTTCAATGTTTGTTTGAAAGGTTCGTCAAGGACTATCACTTATACAGTTTTCAGTGGTATTACTTGGTTTCGCGTGTGCTGTTGGCTTACTCTTTATCGGGGAGGCAAGAAGAACCACAAGCAGACACGTTAAGAAGCTGAGTATGTAGAATTAGTAAAATAAACTGCCGGGCAAAAGAAAGTATACCCTTAAAAAATACCTTTTACTAAAATATTACGAGGCTGAAACAGTCGCATGTAAATGCTAATTTAACACAATTATGATCCCCGTATCAAAAAGATCCCCATCGAATAACTACTAAGTATTTCTTGTTTGTTTCATAATTAGCAGCCATCAACCATGGGTGTTTACTTTCTTTTGCCCTGGAGTGTATATTGAAGATGTTTGCTGGTCTTTGTTATGAATAAAAAGAATTCGAAGTAATTTATTTCTACAAACACATAATATTTCATCTAACAGTCCAATTGAAATCAAAGAAGTCTAGTTTGCATTGTATTGGCGCACTTGGTAACTACGTATACAGGGCCAAATTTTGATTTTACTTGAGCATATACGTGCAGGCACATAGGGAACTCCTTCACTGTTCATAGTTTCTCATAAAAGTATGATTAATAGTATATAGTGTTTCAAATATTATTTGTTTGTTGTACGCTGCACAATATTCCAGCTTTTTGACGGCGGACTGTATATATTCGTATATGGACCAGACAATCCAGTGATTGACATCATGAGCATCGATCAGAGCAATTGGGATACGATGACATGCATCAATCAAGTCAGCGAGCCTGACCACCCGATCCCGATTGTCGCCTCTTACGACAAGCATCGGTTCCTGAAGACCTATTCTACCCCGGATCTTCACGGGTCTGTTTCAAATAAGTCAAACAGATATGGGTGCAACGTTTATCTTTAAAAACACCCTGATTTAGTGTGTTCTTTTTTCACATATCGGTAAAAACTTGCTCATTTACGTATTTGACTCAATGTCTAATCTGCAGCGATATTTCATTCATGACGTCAGATAGTGCTATGACATCACGAAGATACAATGCAATGACGTCATAGTATACAGAACGTTGCGGCACTTCTCTCATTCATGTCATAAATTAATTCCCAAGTTGTTTGATATCCATATCGGCGATACTTGACTTTCCTTTCATCTTTAGAACACCCAAAAGTTTGAGTTGTACAGTGTTCACAAAACCATACCTTAGTGAAATTAGAAATGTTCAACTTCTCTGTGTCAACCACTTCATGTACGATATACACTACATCTCAAAAGTAGATTACCTCCTGTTTCGAGACGAACGACCTCTCCATCCGGGTGGTGCGTGATGGGTTGCATGACCTTCACGTGACGACCCGTTGTTTCGTGAACAGGATATGTGGTTGTCCCTCGCCGTGATATTGCTGGAATATTATTAAAAGCAGCATAAAACTATACTCACTGACTCATGCGTGAAGAACATGCGAACACCGAGTGTTGTCGCTGTCATTCTAGTCGGTAGGTGTAGATTCTTGAATTTGAAGTGAAGGGGAACTGGTTCTTATGGCAGATACGAATACCGCTTAGTTAAATGCATTAGGTGAATTACATTTGAGTTGTACTGTACATTGAATAATGTACATATTATTCTAGGTATGTTTACTTAAGGTGAAATGCGCAAACCAATTTGTATTAAAGTCTCGCCAGATATTACTTTGTATTTTTAGAACCCAAGTATCGACATGGGCCTGGTCCGACCTTCAGGCATGACATGGAGAAGTTAGATGGTAAATATATTCAAATATTTCCTTGACATTTTATACCAATTTATTATATACTGGGTATACGGGTGCCCCTTTTTGCCGAAGATGCCGCACTTCGCTGTACAGAGTGTGCCAGGATCCAGTGATCATGTATATATATATCACAGATTCATCCTGATTATGACCCTTGTTTTATCACTAAAATCAGATCTTAGTTCTCGCTACCTCTAAATAAAGATCTGAGGACATCCCATTACGCGTCACGTCAGAACGACCTTTCATCCGACCAATCAGAACGTCGCTTACCAGATGTGTTTTCTGATAATGCAACCTCGAAATTGATAAGTATTGTGAACGACAGTTACAGGCCTGAATCCGTATCTTCCACAGTTCGTGGGAAGTACTGCAATACAATCTCGATCATCTATCAGACATTCCAGGATGTTCTTTTGTTCAATTTTTTTATCCGTATTTTTCCAAGCCTGGAAGGGAAGTCGTCATTTTTAAACAAGTACCGTGTATCTCGAGAAAACCGCTTTCTGATAATGGTTAATGTCGAATTTTTGTTGGTTGTTTAATTAGTCGGTAAACGTTCGCGAAGGGTCATTCTGACGTGACGTGTAATGGGATGTCCTCAGATCTTTGCTTAGATCTGATTCTAATGAGCATGTGTCTACGTAGGGGCAAACCATTGAATATTCTGTGTTGCGCTGTTTGAAAAAAACATTTGTACAAGAAAATTCTGAAAAAGTATTTATCACAAGTTTTATCCAAACATAGCTCGCCAGACATACTGAATAATGTGAACAAAATAATTTCGAACAAAATTGTGTATCTCAGAGCAATGACCGAAAGATAATAATGCCGTATTCCAACACAAATTTAAGAAGACCTGAGGAACAGATTAAATTTTCTTCATGAAATGCTTGCGTTTTCACTGATTTTCAATGTTATTATAGACAGGCAGCTTGTGGCCGAAATCGATGTGGAGGACGACGTCAATCAGTTAGTTGACATATTCCGGCAAAAAGTAGCAAGTAAGATTCCATTATTTTGTTAATTCACTGTGAACAGATAGGAGCCATTACTATATTTTATTCTATAAACAGACGCGTTAAGTAATAATAGCGATAAACAAGCCATGGAACTGTCTCATAGGCATATGTTAAAAGCATTATGAAATGGTGATTATACCAGGTGATCTCGAAAAGGTGAGCGTCGTCCGCCCCATCGGTGGTACCTGTTTCAAAAAGGCGACACAACCATTTCCATATTCACACAAAAAATCTCTGCTAAAAGCGTAGTCGACTGTCCGATTCCGTCTATATCATGGGCTTGTGTTTAAGAATCACTACAAATTGTGATGACACCAGATGTTCGCGAAGATATGAGCGTATCATGCCCCACCGGTAGCACCCGTCACAAACACACGCAAAGGCAAGTCAGTTGTTTACTTGAAGAACACGGGAACATGTGGTGCAAAAATAGGGAATCCCATTCCATGGATGGATGTTCATGATGTCAATCACTGGATTGTCTTGTCCAGAGACTATTATACACGGACGCCGTTATATAGCTGGAATATGCTGAAATGGGCGTTAAACAAACACAGATACAAAACACACGATGGCACAGCTTTCGCTGTTATATTCAAGCTATTGTGGTTGACTGATAGAAAACACTAAGTCAAGTGAACGCAGTCTTGCAAATGTCCGTATGTCAGATTTAGTAAACAAACATAATAACGAGAAATTTATGTTTACCTACACTGCTATCACTGATCAATAAATGTTTAACACAATTTTAAATCAATAAATAAAACATTGAGATTCACTATTCATACCCTTTCAGCGCTGAAGCAGCAGAATATTTGGTCAGAGTTGCCGCCCTTTTCACGGTGCACAGGCAAGGAAAAGAAAGCATGTAAGCTTAATGTAATTTCGAATCCAGGATTATCGGCATAAAATACAGACAATTACGAACGTCTTGATCAGTACACACTGAGTGAGTGAGTGAATGAGTTGGATTTAACGCCGCTTTTAACAGTATTCCAGTTTATCACGGCGTGTCAGCTTAATGTGGGAGGAAAGCCCGAAGTGATGCAGGTCTTAGACGTTAACCACTTCGTTGAAACCCACGAGTACGGGTATGGTGCTGACAAACCTAGAAACATAATCGGGGCGAACCGGGATTCGAACCCACAATCATAGGTTTCTGGCTCGCCAAGGGACGCAGCTCTGCACAGCGAATCACCCGTGCCCCCAGTATACAATGAAGATATCCAAGTGCCTGCTGTTATTGAACGTCAATGTCAAGTTTATGTAAATAACAACGTAACCATCGTCGTGGTGTACATGTATGTGATAGAACGTCTGCCCGGAGAGCATCTCCGTGGTGTATTTGATAGAACGTCTGCCCGGAGAGCTCCTCCGTAGTGTATTTGATAGAACGTCTGCCCGGAGACCATCTCCGTGGTGTATTTGATAGAACGTCTGCCCGGAGACCACCTCCGTGGTGTATTTGATAGAACGTCTGCCCGGAGAGCATCTCCGTAGTGTATATGATAGAACGTCTGCCCGGAGACCATCTCCGTGGTGTATTTGATAGAACGTCTGCCCGGAGACCACCTCCGTGGTGTATTTAATAGAACGTCTGCCCGGAGAGCATCCCCGTGGTGTATTTGATAGAACGTCTGCCCGGAGAGCTCCTCCGTAGTGTATTTGATAGAACGTCTCCCCGGAGAGCTCCTCCGTAGTGTATTTGATAGAACGTCTGCCCGGAGACCACCTCCGTGGTGTATTTGATAGAACGTCTACCCGGAGACCACCTCCGTGGTGTATTTGATAGAACGTCTGCCTGGAGACCACCTCCGTGGTGTATTTGATGGAACGTCTACCCGGAGATCATCTCCGTGGTGTATTTGATAAAACGTCTGCCCGGAGACCACCTCCGTGGTGTATTTGATAGAACGTCTGCCCGGAGACCACCTCCGTGGTGTATTTGATAGAACGTCTGCCCGGAGACCACCTCCGTGGTGTATTTGATAGAACGTCTGCCCGGAGACCACCTCCGTGGTGTATTTGATAATACGTCTGCCTGGAGACCACCTCCGTGGTGTATTTGATAGAACGTCTGCCTGGAGACCATCTCCGTGGTGTATTTGATAGAACGTCTGCCCGGAGACCACCTCCGTGGTATATTTGATAATACGTCTGCCTGGAGACCACCTCCGTAGTGTATTTGATAGAACGTCTGCCTGGAGACCATCTCCGTGGTGTATTTGATAGAACGTCTGCCCGGAGACCACCTCCGTGGTATATTTGATAGAACGTCTGCCCAGAGACCACCTCCGTGGTGTATTTGATAGAACGTCTGCCCGGAGACCACCTCCGTGGTGTATTTGATAATACGTCTGCCCGGAGACCACCTCCGTGGTATATTTGATAATACGTCTGCCCGGAGACCATCTCCGTGGTGTATTTGATAGAACGTCTGCCTGGAGACCACCTCCGTGGTGTATTTGATAATACGTCTGCCCGGAGACCACCTCCGTGGTGTATTTGATAGAACGTCTGCCCGGAGACCACCTCCGTGGTATATTTGTTAGAACGTCTGCCCAGAGACCACCTCCGTGGTGTATTTGATAGAACGTCTGCCCGGAGACCACCTCCGTGGTGTATTTGATAGAACGTCTGCCCGGAGACCACCTCCGTGGTGTATTTGATAGAACGTCTGCCCGGAGACCACCTCCGTGGTGTATTTGATACAACGTCTGCCCGGAGACCACCTCCGTGGTGTATTTGATACAACGTCTGCCCGGAGAGCATCTCCGTGGTATATTTGATAGAACGTCTGCCCGACACCGACTCAATAGTTTATTTTACAGAGCGTTTGCCCGGAGAGCCGACTATAGGTGGTACCTTTGCAGCGTCGTACCAACCGACGTTACGAGATGGTACTTATTGTTACCCTGCCTGGCGCTCAGGCACACACACATGCACCCACTCCTCCCCTTATTTGTTTATGATTTTTGCGCTGGGAGGTGTGTTCCAAAAATGATCACCTCTTTAACTTGATATAACATGTTTGGCAGTAAAGGGTGCCAGGCTTGACATAGTCCTTAGCACTCTATTACTGTCGCACTGACGATTAAAATAGAACGGGTAGTCAGACCTGGTTCATACGTTGCTGAGGCCCTCGATCGATTTTTTAAAGTCATAAAATACATAACAATAGCAGACATGAAGCAAAATACACAACCTGCACGTGCCTTACTACTTCTCCGCTGTTTGCTGCAGCACTAAGTGGATTTTTATGAACGTTTCAGTGGACATGTGCAATGACACAGCTGCCTGCAAACACCCACTTCCGGCGGCTGACAGCCAAGAAAACATCCGCAATATTCTTACACCTGTAACCAAACTCAAAGAGGGGGCACTGGGAAGGATAAAGGATGTTTTCAACATACAGGAGAGGAGGAAATATGCTTTTGTCACGGCAGCGTCAGCGGATCACTTTGATGAATCCCAGGAGATGATCATGACTCTGGACAAATACATTTTCCCTCATTTGAGCAACTACTCCTTCTATTATTACGACATGGGGCTGAACAGAAGTCAGGTCAAACTGGTAAGCTATGACTTTATGATAGTATCAATGATATAAATACACGCAGTAGCAGCTAAGTTCATCAGTAGTAATATCATTAGTAGTATAAGGTAAACATAATAATAAACAGCATTGGCGGACATAGTAGTAGTAGTAGTAGTAGTAGTAGTAGTAGTAGTAGTAGTAGTGGATATAAGAGTAGTATTCCTTTATCCCTCATTTTATCCAAAATATTTAGTAGTAGGGGTGGTGGTTGATATTCTCAATATCCCATAAGCACTTAAGACAACTATATATAAAGACATAAGCAGATACGACAGCTTCTGTTATATAACTATGTCTATTGTTATTTCAACTATGTTGCAGCTTCAGAAATATGGAAGGGCTGAAATAAAACGCTACCCGTTTGATTTGCTGCCTGATCGGTTTTCCTACTTGAAGTGTTACTCGTGGAAGCCCTTGGTGATACAGGTACAGTAAAGGAAATTAATCAGTTTTAGGCACCCACCATCTGCACTCGCTCACGCACATGCATACACACAGGCAAACGCAAACAAGTGCATCAATGATGCTTGTAAAACACGTGTGTTACGCAGTCCCACAAAGGTTTTGTCTGAGTTTGCCCGCTGCCCGACTTTCATTTGTAACCACGTGGTTTTCGCACATATCAAAAGTCAAGGTCATATTCTCAAGTTTATAGCCTAAGTAGTGTTCAACTCGGAAATGATTTACTTCAGATCAGTTATCATTGGTAATGTCTTCCCGAGGGCGGGGGCCGATGTTAGAAAGTATATTGTCTTATTCACTATGATTAACCTGAAGATCCGGGTTACTTGACCTTCAGCGATCCTAGCTTGTCACAAGGCGACTAAGGGGATCGCATGGTCAGGCTAGCTGATTTGGGTGATGCATGTCATCGTATCCAAATTGCTTGGATCAGTGCTCATGAGTTCAATCACTGGATTGTCTGGTGTAGCTGGACTATTGCTGAATGCGGCGTTAAGCAACCAACAAACTACACGATTAGCATGCTTCAAAATCGGGAAAAGTGTATTTGGGAATGAATATCCATCTCAGTCAATTATTCCTACATTGTCAAAAACTTGTTCCTAGTGTGATACCCAGTTGGACAGGTTGAACAGCTTTGTGCATCTGTACGCCTTTAAACCCCTCCTACTCACTTATCCATTCATAAATAATTATTACGTATTATTATTTTCAGGCTCATTTTGACAATGCGGAGTACACATTTTGGTTGGACGCCTCTGGACGGTTCGACAAGGGCAACCTGCGTGAAATGTTCGACATGCTGAAAGAAACAGGTGTGCTTTTGTCACCATGGCCAAAATATCCTTTTGCACAACATTGTTCAAAGCACATGTTTTCCTACTTCAACACTGAACCATGCCACTTTTCAGTTTATCACGAATCTGAAGCCAATGTGATAATGCTACACAACCAGCCATTCACAAGACGTCTTATAATGGACCCGTGGGTGTCCTGCGCAGTGGACCCAAACTGTTTGTGTCATCCAGGCGCAACCAAATTGTACTTTTGTTCATTCGGCACCAGGAAGTATGGGAAATGTCACCGGTATGACCAATCAGCCCTCAATTTGATTCTTCTACAGATGTTCAGAAGGAATATAGATTCTATACAATATAAGAAAAAGAAATACGCACATGTCTCCCGAAAAATAGGACAATTGTACCTCAGTGAAACGTACAATAAAGTGTTATGATATCACTGTGTCTGTACGCTAACACGTGGTTATTTGAATGTGGATACCTCAGCATGCTTGTGTACGCGCAAGAGAGAGTGCATAATTGTGTGTGTTTGTTGTTGAACGAGACACTCAAAAATATTTCTTTATGGACCAGACGAAAGGGTGATGGTTGTAAACAAGTATCAATGTCATCGGTGCAGGGGGCACGGGTGGCCCAGTCGTCTAAGGCGCCGCGATTCGCTGTGCAGAGTTGCGTCCCTTGGGCACGCCAGAAACTTATGATTGTGGGTTCGAATCCCGGTTCGCCCCGATTATGTTTCTAGGTTTGTTGGCACCATACCCGTGCTCGTGGGTTTCACCGATGTGGTAAACGTCTGAGACCTGCATCACTTCGGGCTTTCCTCCCACATTAAGATGACATGCCGTGATATAACTGGAAAACTGTTAACAGAGGCGTTAAAACCCAACTCACTCACTCACTCACTCACGCACTCACGCATCGGTGTACGATCACACACAATCAAATAAAACTAATATTGATGGTTTATATCAAGATTGGAACAGAGGCACGGTTCAGACCATACACAGAGACGTGCATGTCGGGTTAACTTCGTGAGTCATACCAAAAGACGTTAAAAGATGGTACTTGTTGTTACCCTGCCTGGCGCTCGGCATTAAACTTTGACTGGTCGGCTTGGAGTCCGTATACTGTGTCTGAGTGGGGTGTTCATGTTAAACTGCGACATTTTATCTCAGTGGGCTGGCACTCTAAAATCGGCATTAGTCCGGACAAGTACAGGCACACACACACACACACACACACACACACACACACACACACACACGTGTACGGACCTCTCTATATAAGTGCAGTTATTTTGAACGCGACGTAACACCCCATTTCCCCTCACTTCAGTCTATCATCCTACATGCTAATTAGTACTATGTGTAATCTCAAAAACTCAAAGGATTTTCTTGAAGTCTTGCAATCTCAGAAATGAACCATGTTCAATTTTGTCAAAACATTTAATTTGTACATTACCATCCCACACAAAAAGTCCAAGGAAAACTTCATTCTTTGATCCATGGGGCCTTGCTGCTAAACGTTGTGACCACAGAGGATATTATAGTTCCATCTCTATCTTCAGAGTTTCAAAAATGAAAGCACATGTCATCTGAAGTTTACTGAGAAAATAATACGTCCTCATTGATAACATCTGTGCAAAATTTGGAGGCAACACATTTTGCTATGCATAGCCCAAGAGCACTGTATGACAAGGAAGATTCCTTCAACTTTCAAATTGGTCAACTTTTCCTTTATGTCGAGCACCATTCCAGCAGCTCCAGCCTTTGGGGTACATATTTGCCAACCTTTGAGGTCCAATCAAGCATACAATCAAGAGATGTTTGATGAGGACTACGACATTCAAGGCCTTAGTAATGGTTTTAAAAAGTTCTATAGTGAGCATGGGTTGAACATTTCGCATCGGTGACCAATATAATGTCTGATGCAATTTCCTAATTTGACTTGTACTAATGTTCAAATTTTCAAATTTAATGCTTAGAGCAAAATCGAATGTGCGTAGGGTTGAAACGCACCTTTAACCTTGTTGCGTGCTGTCATAAATATATATGTATTATGGCGTCATCTATAGAACGTCTAGGTAAACGTAAACACAACTCAAAAATTGAGAAATACCCAATGTGCAAACATTATATATAATTTTTGCTAATGTAACGGGGCCCTTTCCATTTAGGTTAAACGAATCAAAAACAATAAATACTATTAATGAAAGTTTCTTGCAAATATATTGACAGGGTGATTTTCTTCCCTTTTCCTGTTCAGTGAAGTAGGATTTTGGAGTGGTTGCAAAGTGCAGCAAACTAAAGACAATGCATGGTTTATTCCTTCTTATTTCATTTGAAGTTAGATATAATCATTATTGTAAAGTCTGATGTGGCAGTGATTTTGATTGTAAGTGACAGTGTTCCCCCTGGTGTGGAGAGCAACGCTGTGAGAACCTGTGTAGAGATGTCGATTCACTGCATGATTCGTAACGCTTCGAGGTTGCACTTTCTAGAAGGATGTCTGTAACTATACATGAGGGAGACGATGTCGATTTGGGGCCTCCTTCTACAACTTGATATGCAACTTACATTTTCTATCACCTTCTTGAAAGTGTAGACCTTTTGGCCTGCTTCTCAACACTGATTCCTAGATCGATTTTTGGTTTGTTGGTTTGTTGTTTAACGCCGCACTCAGCAATATTCTAGCTATATGACGGCGGTCTGTAAATAATCGAGTCTGGACCAGACAATCCAGTGATTAATATAAGCATCGATCCACGCAATTGGGATCGGTGACATGCATCAACCAAGTCAGCGAGTCACCCGATCCCGTTCGTCGCCCTTTACGACAAGCATAGTCGCCTTTTGCGGCAAGCATGGGTTGCTGAAGACCTATTCTACAACGGAATCTTCACGGGTCTAAAAACAGCACCTGCTTCACCCATTCAAGACATTCGATGGTGACAACTGCTTAAGATAGGGTCTGATATTTATTGCTGCCGTCACATATTTGGCACATTGTATTGCCGTTTATTATCGAAAAACTAATCATTTGTTTCATTCCTATTTGTGGATTCTTCATTGATATTGTGGGGTTATTTACTGATTTCTCAATTTAGTTCTGTACATGTCGATTTCTGGATTAACCACTCGTTTCAATTTGGAAATCATCACATAACGAAAGTTAAATATTGAGAAGAGACATCTTTTAGCTTCTAAGCCTATTTAAATAATTGCACAGTGCTTATTTATCAATTATTGTAGAGGTAAAACATGGAGCTGACTGAAATTATTTCTAATGATGTCCGAATAACTAAATATACTTTGTTGTTTCCAAATCCATGGACATACACACATGAATCGTAGAAATGATACACTAGACTGTTTATAAGAAATATGGTTTATGGAGTTCGTATTGAGATTGTAATTATATACATGTGACTCATGCAGTGAAACTCCAACAGCAAGCAATGTGATCATCAGCGTAATACTGTTCTAATTTAAATAATTCCGTTATTGAATTGAGGAAAACATAGGAAGCCATTTCCTTCCCACATTAAGCTGACACGCCGTGATGTAACTGAAATAAGGTTCCTATTGAATTCACTGATTTCAGCATGTTCAATTCAACTAACTGATTTGTCCAATCGACCCGTGAAGATCCAGGGTAGAATAGGTCTTCAGCAACCCATGCTTGCCGTAAAAGGTGACTATGCTTGTAAAAGGCGACTGACGGGATTGGGTGGTCAGGTTCGTTGATGCATGTCATCGTATCCCAATTGCGTCAAGTGATGCTTCTGATGTCAAGAACTGGATTGTCTGGTCCAGATTCAATTATTTACAGACCGCCGCCATACAGTTGGAATATTGCTGAGTACGACGTTAAACAACAAAACAGTAAACAAAAACAGATTGGTCCAAACTGGAACTCATGTTGTCACAAATTTCTTAATGAAGAAGAATTAGACTTTTAATTGTTTTATTACTAAATATCAAGAAGGGGCTTTAACATTGAATACATTCATTCAGTGAGAGTATATCTTATAAGCGATTTTATGAATACCTCAACCAACTTAAATTGAAAATATACATAATGATATCAAAGTAAAAACATCCCATCTGAAAAATAAGTGTTGTGAAAAGGTATCGTTAGAAGATACATCAATATCATCAATCGAATAATAAAGAAATCTGTTACAAAGCTTATAGAGAACTTGGAAAAAAAGCTCCTTCCATGCTTTGCATTTGTACAGTCAGCATTAATGAGATTATTTTCAGTAATATTCGAGCTATTTGACGGCAGCCAGTAAAATAATCGACACAATCAGCACTATTCCAGGTTTATGACGTGTAAAAACTCGCAGTTATGCCAGACAATTCGGTGATCGATTGTGAACAATGATGCACGGCGTCGAGGGACGAAGACACGCAATTAACCAAGTCATCGAGTCTGATCACCCAATACATTTGGTGCCTTCATACAACTAGCATAGGAGGCTTGGTTTATAAATCTAACCCAGAATCCCTGAACAGGCCAGTGGTTGATACTGCGATCAACGATTCAACCATGCCACAAAGCTTGACCCAATCCAAACATACAGACAAGTCACTCGGACCTATTCTAATTCAGAATCCACTTTGGGCATTTGGAAATACTGCACTATGTAGTGAGGAAGTATGTATGCGCCTCTAGTAATATATTAACGACCAAAATGGGAAATATGATAGAAAATGTTGCCATTGGCAAAACTGACTATGAAAAAATCAATATCTAGGAACCTCAATATTTATTCCCTCAGGGTTTGCTACAACAAAATGGATATGAATGATACCCGGAAAGAAAATTATGTTGTGAAAATACAATCCCCCCCAAAATATATGGTCGAACCCCTATACGTATATACCGTGTTTGCTAATGCTAACTGATTGTGATGACCAGTGAGTTGACATATGTAAGCAATGGACCCCGGGCGTGTATCAGCCAACCACCATCCAAGCCAGACATTTATCCAGAACAACAAACGCATTTCCGAGGGATATCTACAACTACATGAAAAAGGTGCTGTGATGACATAAAAAAACTGAGCGAAATGAGGTTTATGTCCGAGTAAGTTGGCAAAATATACGCTATAATAGGTAACTATGCACCTCTCAACTGTAAAAGCCACGCTTGATTGACGCAGCCATAAGAAATTAGGTAAAAGTAAGATTTCATAAGGTACAAGGGGTGCGCAAGCTCAACAAATCCTACACACACACACACACACCCCACCCCCCACACCCCACCCATCCATCCCCCTAACAAATCAATTCCCATTATCACAACCACCACACACACGTTAAAAAATAGAAGTATCGTTAAAGTGAAAAACACTCCAAAATCAACATTATCATTATGCAGTGTATGTGTTTCAAAACATGTGTGCTGTCATGTTCGACTTAATGGTAACACAAGGACACACGGGTTGGTTGACCAAGTGGTGTCGGTGACGCAACTCGCTGTATCTGCACTAGTACACCGCTTGAAGAAATAGATCCTCCCTGACATGACCTTTGGTCCGAGATATAGGGTATGCATGTACTGGCACATTGACGCACATACCGGAACACATACACATCATAGTGATTTATTGTTCAATTCATTGAGGTACAGTCGTCCTTTTTTCCGCGAGACATGTGCGTATTTCTTTTTCTTATATTGTATGGAATCTATATTCCTTCTGAACATCTGTAGAAGAATCAAATTGAGGGCTGATTGGTCATACCGGTGACATTTCCCATACTTCCTGTTGCGAAATGAACACCAGAACATTTTGGTTGCGCCTGGGTGACACAAACAGTTTGGGTCCACTGCGCAGGACACCCACGGGTCCATTATAAGACGTCTTGTGAATGGCTGGTTGTGTAGCATTATCACATTGGCTTCAGATTCGTGATAAACTGAAAAGTGGCATGGTTCAGTGTTGAAGTAGGAAAACATGTGCTTTGAACAATGTTGTGCAAATGGGTATGGCCATGGTGACAAAAGCACACCGGTTACTTTCAGCAAGTCGAACATTTCACGCAGGTTGCCTTTATCGAATCGTGCAGAGGCGTCCATCCAAAATGTGTACTCCGCATTGTCAAAATGAGCCTGAAAGAACAACGATTGACTGATAACTGACAGAAAGGAGTAAGTGAGTGATTGTTTGTTGTTTAGCACCGCACAGCAATATTCCAGCTGTATGAAGGTGGTCTGAAAATAATCCAGTCTGTGCCAGACAAACCAGGTGTTGACATCAGGAGCATCACTTGACGCAGTTGGGATACGATGACATACAAGCAACGACGTTACCATACCTTTTGCCTCTTTGTTTGTGGTTTAACGCCGCACTCAGCAATATTCCAGCTATGTGACGGCGGTCTGAAATAATCGAGTCTGGACCATCAATCCAGTGATTGACATTATAAGCATCCGATCGCAAATGGGATCACCCAATCCCGTTAGTCGCCCCTTACGACAAGCATAGTCACTTTTTACAACGAGCATGGGTTGTTGAAGACCTATTCTACCCAGGATCTTCACGGGTTAGTCACCGTACCTGATCACCCGATCCAGTAAACCGTCAATTACAACCAGCATAAACTGCTGGGGACCAATTCTAAGTCCAAACAGGACCCATGGAAATGATCCTACAAGTGCAGTATATTTTTTAAATGACTCTGTGAGCTAGAATAGGTAAGTTTCGTGTAGATGCATTTGTGCGTGTGCGTGTGCGTGTGCGTGTGCGTGTGCGTTACAGATATCTCTGCGCGCATGTGCAGATATCTAGGTGCGCATAATACCTGTATCACGACGGGTTTCCACGTGTAACACTTCAAGTAGGAAAACCGATCAGGCAGCAAATCAAACGGGTACCGTTTTATCTCGGCCCTTCCATATTTCTGAAGCTGCAACATATACGATAAAAAACGGGTTATATATAAATACTTTAATTTAAGAAGTATAGGAGATAACAGGCCTCCGAGGTTTTGGTTGAAAATGTAAACACGAGGGAGAAGGATTTTCGGGACTCCCGAGTTGTTAACATTTTCAACCTAAACCGAGGGGTTGTATTTTCTCTGGCTTTTAAACGTTCTAAATGCAAGAAATTCCAGACAAAACATCGTGATACCTTACAGTGGAACGATATGTCAGGGTAAAAGCTAATTCGATCGAAGCGTGCGAGAGAAAGACCACACGCAGCAAGCACACATTTGAAGTCATGACATGTAACATTGAACAATAGTTATCACCTGCTCAGTGGGAAAACAGTAGGTTACAAAACTTAACATAATATGTGAGACTGCAGGTTCGATTCCCGTCATCCATAACGAAAATATTTCATGTCTTAGAACATTGGACGTTTGAAACACAAAGTCCAAATTTCATCTACTACTCAAATCATCAGGTCTAACAAGGAAAAAGTAAAACCTCAGACCCGGGATAAGGTCGTACCAGGAAAAAGAAAAACCACGCAAGGAGTTATTACGAGATAGGAATATACCAACAATACAACAGTCAAAAGTGGCTGTAGGTTTAGAAGCTGGGGTATCTGTTTATCCATGTGTAAATACTTGTATTACTTATACTTAGAAGCTGGGGTATCTGCTTGTCCCATATCACTGAATCATAAATTGTGAATAAAACAAGGAGTGAGTGGGTTGGGTTTAACGCCAGTTTGAAACGTATTCACGGCGTGTCAGCTTGATGTGGGAGGAAAGCCCGAAGTGATGCAGGTCTCAGACGTTTACCACTCTGGTGAAACCGACGAGTAGGGATATGGTGCTGCCAATCTAGAAACATAATCGGGCGAACCGGGACTCGAACCAACAATCATAGGTTTCTGACGTGCCTTTCTGCACAGCGAATTGCGGCGCCTGAGACGATTGGGGCCACCCGTCACCAAAAAAATCAATGACTTCATAATAGGACATATGAATTATAAGGTGCTATCTGCGATAACACGCAATCAACGAAATCACCGAGTCTGAGTAACTGACACAGTAAGCCGCCTCTTAGAATGAGTAAAAGATTGCTTGGGTACACGGAATTCCTACGCGAAAGTTAGCGTGTTGATTTTAACGATTCTCGGCTATATATCAGTGATCTGAACGTTGCCGTTGCAGTTTTCATGGAAATAGCTTACCAGTTTGACCTGACTTCTGTTCAGTCCCATGTCGTAATAATAGAAGGAGTAGTTGCTCAAATGAGGGAAAATGTATTTGTCCAGAGTCATGATCATCTCCTGGGATTCATCAAAGTGATCCGCTGACGCTGCCGTGACAAAAGCATATTTCCTCCTCTCCTGTATGTTGAAAACATCCTTTATCCTTCCCAGTGCCCCCTCTTTGAGTTTGGTTACAGGTGTAAGAATATTGCGGATGTTTTCTTGGCTGTCAGCCGCCGGAAGTGGGTGTTTGCAGGCAGCTGTATCATTGCACATGTCCACTGAAAAGAGGCAGGGAGGGTTGTTTTCATGGTCCAAACTTGATTATGTAAGGGCCGTCATACTTTAGCTATAATATTACTTATGGAGAGATAAAGAAGAAATTATTTTAACCTTACATGCTTTCTTTTCCTTGCCTGTACACCGAGGAGAAGGGGGTAACTCTGACCATACCTTCTTCTGTTTCAGAGCTACAACATAGAACGAAATTGGTGAAATAGTTGATCTTTTTGAAACATTCTAGATCTAACATTTAGCAGTGGAACCCAGGTAGGTATCAACGAAACCTACAACTATGTGAAGCCAGCGATTTATCCAGAACAATTATGAGAGTAGAAGGGTGCTGTGACTATATAGAAAAGTGAGTGAAAATGAGGGATATGTCTGTGAAAGGTAGCACAGTAAACTATATAAGCGGTAACTCTGCACCTAGGAAACCGTCGGTTGTAGAAGTGTCATGTAAGTGAAATCCATCATCAGCACCACCACACACCCCTTAAAGGAAAATAGAGGTATCGTTAAAGTGAAAATATTGTTTTTATGCAATGTATGTTATGCATGTCTTAATGATACCAAGAGGACACACGGGAAGATTTGGTTGCCCAAGTGGTGTCAGGTGATGCAATTCCCTCTATCTGCAGCAATGCATCACTTGAAGCAACAGATGTTCCCTGAACATGACCTTTGGTCCAAGATATTGGGTATGCGTTAGCCAAAATGTTAGGAATAATAATAATTAAAAACAAATAGAAGTGTTGGATTAGAACATGATGTACATGAGTATAATAATACACTTTTACTCTGTCTGAAAATGTGCTTTTGGTGGTTATGATATTTTCTCGTTATTAATTAACCGTTTCTTAATTAAAATCGATGAGCTCATGAAATCTTACTTGCTACTTTCTGACGAAACAGGTCCACCAAGAGTGTGACCTCGTCTCTGGAATGGACAAGCTGGTTGTCTGAAATCAAGAGCACATACACATGTGTGTACTCATACGTTATACATGTGCGTACATAATGAAAAAAAACACAAAGTCACTAGGAGGCACGGGTGGCCCTGTCGTCCAAGGCGCCGCGATTCGCTGTGCAGAGTTGCGTCCCTTGGGCAGGCCAGAAACCTATGATTGTGGGTTCGAATCCCGGTTCGCCCCGAATATGCGTCTAGGTTTGTCAGGGCTTTCCTCCCAAATTAAGCTGACACGCTGTGATATGACTGGAATACTGTTAAAAGCGGCGTTAAACCCAACTCACTCACTCACTCATAAGTGTATGAAGTATTATTGAAATGACGTAAACTACTTCCACATTTCTTGGGAAACTCTTGGGAATGACTACATACAGAAGCGTTGTGCGTGACCATTAAGATCCTTTAGATCCCCCCCATACACTTATGAACGTGAGTTTCTTGGACATATGGCCGACCACACGTTCAATGGAAAAGCTGTATGTCGTGTACACTTTACATTCAAAATTATATGTACATAAATATATATGTGTCTGTGTGTCTGTCTGTGCTTGCGTGCGCGCGTGTGTGTATTAAGTGCATATGTATAATGAACTGTAGATAAAACTGGAAATATAGGAGAGCAGTTCGTGTCGCGTGATTAATTTCTGAATGTCACTGGCACCAATTGTGCTCCCCTTTTTGTGGATCTGTTTCTTAATGCATATGAATCGGAATATCTGCTCGGATTGGCAAAGTCACAACAAGGTAATGTGGCCAAGAAGGTTAACTTAAGCTTCAGGTTTATCGATGATTTGATATTGTTCAATAACAATCAAATAGCCAATTCCCTTCCTCTGATTTACCAACCTGAACCTGAAATATAGGAGACCAGTGAGACCGCCTCAACTGTTTCATATTTAGATCTATGTATAAAGATTCAGAGTGACAAAACTCTCCACAAGACCGGGTGACAAGAGGGATGACTTCAACTTTCCAATAGACAACTTTCCTTTCTTGTCTAGCAATATTTCAACAACACCAGCCTTTGGTGTTTAAATTTCGCAACGTTTGAGATAAAATCGAGACTGCTCTTTCTACCAAGATTTCGAAAAGCGTCATTGCTCAGAAGTTGTTTGATCAAGGGTACAACATTCAAGGCATCAGTAAAGCTTTCAAACGTTTTATGTAGACATGTGGAGGACATTTCTAATTTTGACGCATCAGTGACTAAAATGATGTCTTATGCAATTCCCTATTTTGACTTGAACCATATGTTCCCTTGTTTTTTTTCAGGTAAACAGTTGACTTGCCTTTGCATGTGTTTTTGACGGGTGCCACCGGGAGGGCAGGATACGCTCACCTTTTCGAGAACACCTGGTATGATCACTATTTGATAGTGATTCATAAACACATGCTCACTGATATAGTCGGAATCGCACAATCGACTCTGCTTTATGAAGAGCTTTCTCATAAATATGGAAAGGGGTTTGTCGCTTTAGTAATATATTTGGTGCTGTACACAACTGAATTCACCTCTTTATATCAGGGGACCGTCACCTCTAACAATGGTGGATGAATTTGTAAATTTCACTATTCAACAACCCTTTACCATTAAGTCTCTGTATCTCCCTGGTGACTGCACGTTCAGTCGTTGTTTGAAGATACACGTGCTCAGTATCTGAAAATGCAATGAACGAGCATACAGCAATGGCCTAACCATATTGGTTATCGTCTAAGACCTGCATCACGAGGTTTCGTCCCACATCAAGCTGTGATATAACTGACATACTGTTCAACGCAGCGTGTTCAAAGCGTGTCCAAACTCACTCACTCACTCACCCCCTAACCATCTTCGAAACAAATGCATCCCTACGCAAAAGTAAACAAGCTGACTTTTCTCGACTCTTCGGATTGTGAATATAGCTGGTAAACACCATTCTAATTTAGCATATTTTTGTCACTTACACTTATACATAAATAACATGCAAAAGCTACATCGGCTAGTGCGAGAATGTCAGTTTTGCGAGAAAGACAATTTTAAAGTTTGCGAGCATGAACAAGTTGATACCTGATACTCCGACATCTACTGGATGATGGATGGATGGATCGTTATTGAATATTTATTAAGTTGAATCTATATGTTCGGAATCAGAATAAAGAATTATCTGACGTCTCATTCTATATCAGCTCGAGGATAATAGACTGAAAGAACGACCGAATGAAAATTCGCACCGGCGACCAATGAAAAGCCGAGTTATTTATAGAAAAATGGGTAATTCCCAAGGGCATTACTGAACATATTACGACATCATCCATTTTCCCGTATGGGTAAGAAATACCAATAAACCCAAAAGTTAATTAAACATATAAGAATCAGGAGGCTGTGACTATGGTGAATATATGTGGCTGTGAATTTCAATGTTTGAAAACCCTTACCATTTAGTCTCTGTGTTTCCTTGATGACTGTATGGTCATACTTTGTTTGAAGACACAAGTGCTTAGTATCTGAAAATACATTGGACCAAAACTTACTTCGGGCTCATGAACATAAATTAGCTTAGAGGGTACATCAACCCATGTCCCACTCGATACCCGTGGACACTGCATAATACTCCTCAAACCACACAATATCTATTGCTTGTTTCTTATCACTATCTTTAAGAAATGGATCGATATGTAAAATCTCGATTTCCTAACCATACAACCCGTATTTCCTCATTGCTTAATGTAAACTAGAAATATAAAAATGCTGATTTGCAAAATTTTGAACAGCTAGTTCGTCAGATAGTTTTACATCCAAAGGTGCACGGAAATAAACAAACAAAATGCAGAACAAAATTTAAAGTGCCTGTATATTTGTTAGATGATGATGGTAAACAGGTTTGTGATCTCGCACTCTTTATGTGATAAAGGAGTGGTTTGTTTATTTCTGAAATTTGCAAACAGAATGAAGCAAGTGTCCACTAGCAGTTGGTTAACTTCACATGGCTATTGGTAATGTTAGACATGACTGATGACACGATCATAACATGAGGGAGTCAAGATGGATACATGCATATCGTATAGACTCTTGGTTATCTCGGTCATAATATTTATATGAACAGCTATGAAAATATGTCATCCACATATGTCAAATGCATTGCGATAAACAACATTCACAACAAACTGTAAGTACATACGGCTCTTGTCATGACGACTCCACTTTCAACAGTATTTCGGTCACCTCACAGTGTGTCAGCTTCACATGGAGGAGTTAAGTTATTTTTTTATTTTTTTATTTTTTAATTTTTTATCGCTTCAGCAATATTGCAGCCATATCGCGGACATGGAGGAAGGTTGAATTAGAAGTTGATCACAGACGTTTGGTGGACAACAGGAAGGATCATAAACAGTGCGAATCTGGGATTCGAACCGATGAACAGCGGATCCTGGCTCGACTATGGTACGCAACTATGCAAAATTGTATATGAATAATTACATGACTTACTCAACACATTCGGGGTCCTTGTGACCATCACTAGCAGACCAAAGGGATACAAAGTGCCAAGAAATATCACTGAAACTGACATTCAAAAGATTATGTATTTTGTTTATTTGTTGTTTAACGCCGCACTCAGCAATATTCCAGCTATTTGACTGGGGTCTGTAAAATAATCGAGTCTCGGCCAGACAAACCCATGATTGACATCATGAGCATCGATGCACGCTATTGTGATCGATGACAAGTCAGCGAGCCTGACCACCCGATCCCGTTAGTCGCCTTTCACGACAAGCAGAGTCGCCTTTTACGGCAAATGTAGGTTGCTGAAGACCTATTCTGCCCCGGAATCTTCGCGGGTCTAATAGATTGTGTGTGAGGGGGTGTAAATATTAAACGTCAACGCAAGTGAATAACAAGTATCGATTATCCGCCGATACAGATTCCGTTAGGTGTAAAAGGCAAAATAGCGGTGAAACTTGAATGAATGGATCACTGAAAGTCGGTGATGGTAAGCATGTCCTGCCCAACTGGTAGCACTCACCACTCAAACAATTTGTATCAAATCGGAAGTTTATGTTTACTGCCTAACGCCGGACAGTAGTATTTCTGCCGTGCAATGTGCGTAAAAGGCAAAATAGTGATGAAAATGATATGAATGGATCACTGGAAATCAGTGTTGACACCAGATTTAGGCAAAAACTATAAATTTGGACACTGTCATTTGTTTGGGAGTGGATTCCCACTAACAGAATCCACAAAACCAAAAGGTCGCATGTTCCTGTATTTGACATTTGCAAACAAGGGAATTGATGCTTATTATTCTGTTTCCCTAAATGTCTCACAATATTTCAAATTTCTGCAGACCGCTAATATTTCATTTTCCAAACGAACACCATTTCACCTTAGTTGTTCACTTGTTGGGACTTGTTACAGAACGTGAGTTTGGCAGCTCATGATGGAATTGACAGGACGTATCTTGGACAGAAAAAGTATTTCTCCCTATTAATTACATATTACAATTATTATTTATTTCAAAGGTTAAATTTATTTAATAATTTACAACCGATTTGGGTATAGAGAAATAAAACACTTTGAAATTAATTATAGGGGTTTAATTGAGGCAGTGATATGCAGGAAATAATTATTTCTCCTCTGATGTCATTATTATTATTATTTAATGTTGCTGAGTAAACAAACAAACCAAACAGAACAAACATCTCTTTTGTCTTTTGTTTTTAAGGGGCGGTCGGGTAGCCTAGTGGTTAAAGCGTTCTTTCGTCACGCCGAAGACCCAGGTTTGATTCCCGACATGGGTACAATGCGTGAAGCCCATTTCTGGTGTCCCCCGCCGTGATGTTGCTGGAATATTGCTAAAAGCGGCGTAAAACCAAACTCACTCTCACTTTTGTTTTTAATACATAATCTTTTGGGGTAAATATTCAAACATGCATCAGGTCATTCGTTCAATCATTTAATAACTTGAAGTTCATTGATTGTATGCATTCAAGTAAGCGTATACTCAACAAATGCGCAAACACTCCATCTTCTCACATTCGTCGTCTAGCCGCCATTTTGGGAGAGAGGGAGTGTTCAATTTTTTGTGTTTTTTTTGTTACTTATTTACATAACGTAAAACAAACATTTGGATTAAGTCTACAACCCCCAAATATTAAAAAAACTTACTTCCCCTACAACGACCTAGTGACCGTTTCAGCAGGATCTTTTACAACTATTTTGGTAAGTGTTCAAAACACCTTCTGCACTATATTTCAAACTGGAACCAAACTTTGAATTTAACAAGGATGTCTCTTGCTTTCATCACAAACTTCCACGGGACTCATATACTGTACCCATCCTACAAGACGAGAATTATATGATTTGATAATACTCATGATATATATATATAGCCTATTAACAATCTGTCTTGAAAGTGGGATATGTGTATATATTACATTGCTTATGAATTATCCATGACTGATTATATGTACCATATCATACATGTAATATGATGATTCATGATGAGAAAATCTGAGTTTCGAAGGAAGTTTTGAAATTTTGTCATTGTAATATACCAATAAAATGGTCTTTCAGAGTGGGTTAGGTCAGTGCGCAATGTTGGCATTGGGGGAATGCAGAAACAGAAAACATGGAAACATCTTTGGAATAAACCCATTCTGTTCCAGCCAGCTGCCATCCAAAGTCTGGCTGCCCTACATGAACAGTTTGTACTTGTTTCCACTGACAAGGCCTCAAATAACATAACCATGATATGTAAGCATCACTACATTAATTGTTTGATCAAAGAACTTGGTATTAATGACGTTTCAATGTTGCCACATATAGAGCCCAATCTGCCCAAACCACGCCTCAGCACTTGACGCTAAAACCTTAAGGCATCTCTCTTTTGTACTGGATTCCCAAGCTCTAAAACAACCGTACAAAGAGAGCGAGTGAATTGGGTTTAACGCCGCTTTTAACAGTATTCCAGTTATATCGCGGTGTGTCAGCTTAATGTAGGAGGAAAGCCCGAAGTGATGCAGGTCTCAGACGTTTACCACTTCGGTGAAACCCACGAGTACGGGTATGGTGCTGACAAACCTAGAAACATAATCGGGGCGAACCGGGATTCGAACCCATAACCATAGGTTTCTGGCGTGCCCAGCGAACCGCGGCGCCTTAGACGAGTGGACGACTGGGCCACCCGTGCCCCCTGCTGACATTTGAAACAACATTTCCCAGGCCGTTTTCAATCATCTGGTATCTCTGTGCGCTGCCAAAACCCTGTGTGAGTCAAATGGTGGCCCAACCCGACATTGACATTGTTAGTTGAGTTGTTACACCACCCTCTGTTAGGGCACCCCTCTTTTAGGTCACCCCTCTTTTAGGGCACCCCTCTTTTAGGGCACCCCTCTGTCTCCTGTTACCAGGCATGGGTTTTGTCAATTAATTTTTCATGATAACCATGACAAGATATCGCTCTACATGAAGCACAAACTACAGTTATAACGAACTCAAAGGGACCTCTAATTTCAGTTCGTTATAACCGTAGTTCATTATAAGCATACATACAGGATGTAAACAGCAAATGCCCTGGACAAAAAATACGTTATATCCGTCAGTTCGTTAAAAGCGTTTTCGTTATAATTGTAGTTTACTGTATAACAGTTGATAGTCTGATTCATGTTGCAAATGTCTTTCAAACTGTTCTCGATTAAGTTTATTCAAAGTGAAAAAAAACAAAAGATTTAGAGACGCCTACAAAGGCATAATGGGGCCACTGGGTTTTACGGATGGGGCGAGCTATAACCACTCAATTATGAATTTACCAGTGAAAATGGCGTCAGTGTGGTCTCTCAACGACGGCTAATACAATTGTTTGACATTTCAACAATCCAAAGCCATTCATATAAAATTTAATAAGAATATATTGAGCTGTCAATCTTCACACCCTCAATGCTCAAAGACTCAACCAAAGAAATATTTGATCCGAGACGTCAAAACTGCTCTTCATTGTGTAACAAGACGAAAACATTTCTTAGTTTTTTAAACAATAATCTTAATTCATAACAAACATCTCATTTTTTTAGAGTCAACTGGATATTCTGGTCCATTATTTGATTTGTTTGTTTACAGGCCGCCGTCGCATGCCAGGAGTACTGCAGTGCGGCGGCAGGCAACAGACACTGACGTTGTCGTACACATGGTGTGAGTGGCAGGATATACCTGTAGGACAGGTCATGTTTACTCCTTTGCCGAACACCTTGTGTCATCTCTGTTTTTTAGTAATCAATTCATATAATTTTCACCGCATTTTGCCTTTTACGCCCATTTCGGCGAATAAACGAGAGTTGTTATTACCTGGTGGTGACGTTAGATGTTAACAGCGATCGAATTAGAGGGTAAAACCGGCGGCAGAAAATATTGACATATGCTAAATGTAGGTAAGTGTAGATATATGACGTACTTAAGGCGTACTTTAGACAGGGTGAGTGTAGATAGGTGATGTGCTTTAAGGCAGGGTGAGTGTAGATATTATGACATACTTAAGGCATACTTTAAACAGGGTGAGTGTAGATAGGTGATGTGCTTCAGGCAGGGTGAGTGTAGATATATGGCATGTGCTTTAGGCAGGGAGATATATATATATATACTGAACCGCAAAAGAAACGTCAACCCCAAGTAACATTGCCTAAAAAGTTGTCATTTAAATTTTTGGGTATTTTTTGTCAACGTTACTAAAACTTAACATTACCTTGTTCGGAAAAATGAAATTTGATGATAAAAACACAAAACAGATGACAATAAAACCGATCGCCCAAACGCATCACGGCAACGGCCATGGAAACCCGATGCACGTGAGTTCCGTGCAAACTGAAATGCACATGCGTTCCCCCATTTCTTGCTCAACAAAAATCCATCCAGATCGGATAATATTCATTCGTCATTGAATTGCTACCACGTGCCGGGATTGACAAGAAATCAGCGACACCAAGTCCTTGGACGATTGCAAACTGGACAAGCCCCCCCCCCCCCCCCCCCCACACAACACACACACACACACACACACACACCACACACGCACCACACACACACACCGTCACGATCGTCAGATTGTGCGACAGCATCTTCAAGATCGCTTTTTGCGTCGACGATTGGCGAGCAGACACCTCCACTGTCACAGGCCAAACCGAGGACCCATTCTGACACCACGTCATCGCCGGGGTTGTCTTCAGTGGGCAATACAGTACCAGCATTGGCGCCACCAGCAGTGGAGAAGAGTCCTTTTCTCAGACGAGAGCCGTTACTGTATCTCAACAGCAGATGGCCGAGAGAGTCTGGCGACGCCGTGGGGAACGTTATTCGGATGCTTATGTTGTTGAGAGAGACTCGTGGGGTGGTCCGAGCATCATGGTGTAGGGTGGAATTGGTCTTGCACAGAGGGTCGGCCCTGTGGTCTTCCAGAACATCGGTCCAGGGAGAGGCCATAGTGTCACAGCAGCTCGGTACATCAAGCCTTGAGACCACACGCCATACCTCATTTGGCACGTCACCGCAACCACGAGTTTCAGCATGATAACGCCCATGCCCACACTGCGAGACCAACAAGAGACTTCCTCCAGCAGAATGGCATCAGAACCATGCATTGGCCTGCCCTCAGTCCCGATTTAAATCCCATTGAGCACCTGTGGGACGAAATTTAAAGACGGCTGAACGACGTCCGACCAAGGCCGACAACTGCAGCTGAACTGCGTCAGGCGTTCCTCAGAGTGCGGGATCAAGTGTCTATGGCCCTCATCCAACTCCCTCATCTATTCCATCTATCGACATTGCACGGCAGTCATCAATGCACATGGCGGACACACGAGATAGTGACTTGTGATGCCAGTTTCTCAGAGACTTTAATTTCAACCTTGATGATCAGTTTTGCCAAGTTTCATCGTTTTAATTTGTCTCAAAGTTTGTTTACGGTGTTTGGACAAATAAGGTTTCTCATCGATCTCTCTATGGTGACGTTTCTTTTGCGGTTCAGTATATATATACTGCATATATATAGACTGCAAATTTCAATTTTGCCAAGATAAACTATTTACTGTTAAAAACAACATGAACTGTCGCAGTAAAGATGTTATATATGTTTTAACATGTGCTGGATGTGGTGAGCATTATATTGGAGAAACTGGTATGCAACTGAAAGACCGAATCACTGTACACAGACAACAAATTCGAGATCCAAATGTACGTTGTATAAATGTAAGCAAACACATTGATGAATGCGGGAGTGGTCATTTTACTGTCTTTCCGTTTTATAAATTGTTTAATAATGACAAACATTTATGAATGGAAAAAGAACAGATGTTCATTAGGCTTTTGAAACCTAAACTTAATTCAAAAGTATAATTTTCAAAACCTCCCCATGTAGGTCAATGTGTATTTGTGCACTCACACCATAATGTATTCATGCCTCCCACTATTATCACTAGCTATGACGTCATATGCTTTATGACGTTAAAAGCATAAGGTTGGCTGTTGCCTAGGACTACGTTTTACTTCTCCCTCTATTGTCACTTTTACATCATAGGCATTATGACGCCACAAATACTACTGTTATGCGTCGCCTAGGACTACAAAGTAGTGAGTGAGTGAGTTGGTTTTAACGCCGCTTTTAACACTATTCCAGTTATATCGCGGCGTGTCAGCTTAATGTGGGAGGAAAGCCCGAAGTGATGCAGGTCTCAGACGTTTACCACTTCGGTGAAACCCACGAGCACGGGTATGGTGCTGACAAACCTAGAAACATAATCGGGGCGAACCTGGATTCGAACCCACAATCATAGGTTTCTGGCGTGCCCAAGGGACGCAACTCTGCACAGCGAATCGCGGCGCCTTAGACGACTGGGCCACCCATGCCCTCAGGACTACAATGTAGGTTCATTACACCATAAGAGCCGTTGAACGCCGAAAGATCTTGTGTGGATAAAGGAGTTTTGACAAGCACGAATATCTGGACTCTGTTTTTTTCTATATTTAATACTTATACACCTGAAGAAATCACTTGTTTATATATATACCACGCACCCACAAATCACACCAACCACACACACATACGCGCCGTACACAAACACACCAAACAGAACTGCACACACACACAGACCACGCACAGAAACACACATGCACACACACAACACATGCACACACACAACACACACACACACATGTTTATGGAAATAGTTTTGTCGCCTTTATTTGACCTAATGTGTTACATACCAAAGACAATCATCGGGAGACGTCGCTTCGCCATCTTGGGTCTTCTCCTTTCAAACGGCGAACCTGGAGAAAGGTGATGAAAGTCTCAAACACTGCAGGCACTATAGTAAAGTGTGAACAAACTATATTAGTGCCTATTTAGTCATATTGTGATGTTTGTAATCTGCTGGTGGTCATGACTGGTGTCGTCTGAGCATGGCTTTTTGTATCTGAGCCCTTGGACTTTGACAATAGGCGTAATGCTTGTCAAATGTTTCAATGTCAGCTTAACAAGTTATAATAAGAGTACACGCTCATGATCCCGGATCAACAGATGATTTACCTGCTTCCCTGTAAACTGTCACTACAGGGATTTATCTAGTCATGCTCAGAGTCCGATGTCCCGACCAAGTCTGCACTAAATGTCAATACAAATTCCAAATTTGGAACCATACATTTCCCTATTCAGCTTTTGAATAATACCGATAATGCAATTGTTTTGGGGTTTTTTTATGCCATGGGGTATGAAAAGAAGGAATCAATCGTCAGACCATGATTTAAAACCACACTTCAACTATAAATGTATTTACTACAAACGTGAGAGAGAACCACGTCTCCGAGTTTAGAAATCCTGCAACAGAAATTATTGAGGCGTTGTGTTTTCCGGAAATCTCTCGTGGTGAGGCTCGCTGACTTGATTGATGCATGTCATCGTATCCCAACTGCGTGGATGGATGCTCATGATATAATCACTCGATTGTCTGGTCCACACTCGATTATTTACAGACCGCCGTAAAGGTGTTATGACATGCAGTTACAAGCGTCTGATAATGGCAAAAAATAGGTTCCAAAATGCAAATATATCCTGTTCTTCGGCTTCGGATATATCTGGGAACAGCAGTATTTTCTCCATTCAATGTATTAATCTGAATTCATTTCAGGACTAAAGTATATCTATAAACAGGATTGGCATAGCATGTTTCAAAACGGTACAAAAAAATTGTCATATTTAATGTGTAAAGTTGCTTTTGGAACAGAGGTGTACGTCAATTATTTATCTGTCAAGACGTTTATAATGGCCCCATCACAATTTCGATGTTTTTCATATCAATAGCGTATTGAAGATTTATTCATATACTACAAAGAGATCACATATAACATAGAATATAACATCCTAGCTGTTTGCGCTCCATATTAACATATATTTATCTCAATAAGAATACAGTTTATCTTTTAATGATCATAAGAAGTGGACCCGTAAAAATCCGGGTAGTAATAGGTCTTCAGCAACCCATGCTTGCTGTAACAGGCGACTATGCTTGTCGTAAGAGGCGACGAATGGGATCGAGTGGTCAGGCTCGCTGACTTGGTTTCATGCATGTAATCGATCCCAATTGCGTGGATCGATGCTCATGATATTAGTCACTGGGTTGTCTGGTCCAGACTCAATTATTAACAGACTGCCGTCATATAGCTAGAATATTGCTGAGTGTGGCGATAAACAACAAACAAACAAACACATCATAAGAAGTGGTAGGTGTACTCGAAATCTAGCGATCTACATGTTGGAACCAAGTGTTCAGCGTCAATTAAATATCAGCAACCGATGACGACAACGAAACATTAAGAAGATAATGAGAAAGTAACCACAATAGCTGAAGTAAATCTTACCTCATTCACAAACATACAATCTTACAAGATGACGAATCTAGACCAGCCAGCGGGAGATTGGTTATCGGCCTCCAATGTACCGGGTAAGACGCGTTATGCTTGTCAGTCAACCCTTGCAGCGTAGCGCTTGGCATGTATTCATGTTTTCAGCGGGTGTCTTTGAAAAGCTTTACCTCTTTGTTATATATCTAAAGGCGCATTCGCATAACACTCAAAGTCTCAACGCTTTAAGCTGCACAGAATGATTTGATATTTGTGTACGTTTGAGACGGTGCCGGTAACACTCACAGGTGTTGCACTATCGGGTTTAGTATGGCGATTCCCTCACTTTCTTCTCCCGTATGAATATATTAAACATTGAGTAAGTGAGTTGGGTTAAACGCCGATTTTAACATCATCATTTACGAACTCACCACTCACACAATTTGCATAATAAAGTCAGTGTTTGGATTTGTTTTGTTTTGTAAAACTAATGTGAAACCTTTCGAAAAATACTTGTAAATTAAATAACTTTATCCTCCAGCTACAAAGCTTCTGTGATCATTACGTAGATTTTTTCTATATTTATAATTTCCATTTTGATCCGCGGTACAGGCACAGCATGATCATGTCATGGTGGTGTTACATAAGTCTGTGACCCGTGAAGATTCCGGGGTAGAATAGGTCTTCAGCAACCCATGCTTGCTGTAAAAGGCGACTATGCTTGTCTTAAAAGGCGATCGGGTGGTCAGGCTCGCTGACTTGGTTGATGCATGTCATCGATCCCAATTTCGTGGATCGATGCTCATGATATCAATCACTGGATTGTCGGGTCCAGACTCGATTATTTACAGACCGCCGTCATATAGCTGGAATATTGCTGAGTGCGGCGTTAAACAAAAAAACAAACAACCAACATTAGTCCGTGGTGTTCCAGTTATTATATATTGTAACATACAATACTCCATCAATTTGGCGGATTTCTACCACACTGCCCCCCGTCCGGGGAGATAACTCTATTTCTGGACACTGAACACTGATTAGAGTACCACTAGTTGCTACTCGTGACCTGAAAGTCAAACTGGAATGTTACATTTCTCAACTAATTCAAACAATTTGAACGTTCATTTTTATTAACTCGTATAGGTTTCGTACACAATGTGGATTTGATCGGTGGGGTTTCCTCATTCTGCATCTGAGGAGTTTTCGTGGGTATTCTTGGACTTTCTGGATTTACGGTTTTACCTGTTTTGGGTGGTCGCGGGTTGTTTTGTCGATGTTTGTAGTGTACTTGTACTTCGAGAGTTTCATAGTAGGTTTTCCTGTTCTTTACTCCCTACGTTTTGTGGACAGATGACCTCAGCGGAGACTTTTTAAAAGTATGAGGAGTTTCTGGTTGTAACAAGATCTCCTGAGGAGGCAGTTATCATATTTCCGTTGCGAGTGATGACTGTATGTGGCGTTGGTTTGAATGTCGATGTCAATTAGTTGGTTTTATTGTCATGTTTGACAAGAACCTTGTCACCTATTCTCAGTTTACAATGTTCAACATGGTTATACTTGTCAGCGTATTTCTTCATAGACCATGTCGTTGTGTCTGGCTTTGTTGGCGATGACAATGTCTTGGTTTGGTGAGATTGACAGATCTAGCAGTCTGGTCCTTGCTTTTCGTTCAAAGAGAAGTCGGCATGGTGTGAAGCCTCTGGGTGGGTGCATGGCTCAGCGGTATTGGCGACGGAACTTTCCAAGCCTTACCTTCGACATGTGCGATACGAATTGCCTTCATTAGTGGCATGTTGAAAGCTTCAGCTTGTGCATTAGCTCCAGGCCATCTGGCAGTGATACACCGATGCTTCAAACAACTGTAATCGGCAAACTGAGTAAATGCAGAGGAGTTGAAAGGGCTTCCGTTGTCATTTGTATGGTTTGGGTATATCCGAAGTGAGAGAGAAAGTTGACTTGATGTCTGGGTGTTTGGAATATTCATCTGTTATCACAATAACCTGATGGAATGGGATCACAGAAATCTTCACTGAGGTTCTACAATGGTGCTTTGGGCATGCCAGACATTTGTAGCAGCACCAGCCATGTGGCTTTGGGCATGTCAGACATTTGTAGCAGCACCAGCCATGTGGCTTTGGGCATGTCAGTCATTTGTAGCAGCACCAGCCATGTGGCTTTGGGCATGTCAGACATTTGTAGCAGCACCAGCCATGTGGCTTTGGGCATGTCAGACATTTGTAGCAGCACCAGCCATGTGGCTTTGGGCATGTCAGTCATTTGTGGCAGCACCAGCCATGTGGCTTTGGCCATGTCAGACATTTGTAGCAGCTCTAGCCATGGCGAACTTAGGCATGAACTCTGACAGATCTTGACCCTCACTTCGACTTAATCCTCACCTTTGTTCTGGGGAAAGCCTTTGTCCTGTTTATGCCCGAATGTCCATCAAGTGCAAGAGAGACTGCTTTTTCTCTGAATTGCTGCTACCACGGATGATTACCCCATCTACATGACAAGTAAGTTCCTCGCGCACACAAATGTTGATCTTTGGGTTCTTGAGCCAGTTGATTTCAAACCAGTGTCCCGTTCGAATGAATTCCGTGGCGTTCATTAATGTCTTGACGTTAAGATTGAGACCCATGATGATCCGAGGTAAAATAGGCCTTCAGGAAGCCATGTTTGCCGTAAAAGGCGACTATGCTTGTCATAAGAGGCGGCTAACGGGATCGGGTGGTAAGGTTCGCTGGCTTGAATAATGCATGACATCGTATCCCCATTGTGGGGATGTTCATGATGTCAATCACTGGATTGCACTCACTCATGCACGTTCATACGCACGTACGTATATCAATATTCTTCCCCATGTGTTATTGTACAGACACAGTGACATCATAATGTGTTATTGTACAGACACAGTGACATCATAATGTGTTATTGTACAGACACAGTGACATCATAATGTTTTATTGTACATTTCACTGAGGTACAGTCGTCCTTTTCTCCGCGAGACATGTGCGTATATCTTTTCCTATATTGTATAGAAGCTATATTCCTTCTGAACATCTGTAGAAGAATCAAATTGAGGGCTGATTGGTCATACCGGTGACATTTCCCATACTTCCTGATACTGAAGTTACACGAAAACAAATCTGTTGCGCCTGGGTGACACAAACAGTTTGGGTCCACTGCGCGGGACACCCACGGGTCCATTATGAGACGTCTTGTGAATGGCTGGTTGTGTAGCATTATCACATTGGCTTCAGATTCGTGATAAACTGAAAAGTGGCATGCTTCAGTGTTGAAGTAGGAAAACATGTGCTTTGAACAATGTTGTGCAAAAGGATATTTTGGCCATGGTGACAAAAGCACACCGGTTTCTTTCAGCAAGTCGAACATCTCACGCAGGTTGCCCTTGTCGAACCGTCCAGAGGCGTCCAGCCAAAATGTGTACTCCGCATGGTCAAAATGAGCCTGAAAATAACATTGCTTACTAATTATTTTCGAATGGATAACCTTTGTTGTCTTGTTTGTTGTTTAATGCCACACTCTGCTGTATTCCAGCCAGCTATATGACGGCGGTCTGTAAATAATCGAATCTGGACCAGACAAGTGATTCATATTGAGTATCGATCTACGCAATTGGGATGCGATGACATGCGTGAACCAAGTCAGCGAGCCTGACCATCCGATCCCGTTGGTCGCTTCTTCCGACAAGCATAGTCGAGCATGGGTTGCTGAAGACATTTTCTACCCCGGATCGTCACGGGTCTGAATGGATAAGCGAGTAGAAGGGGTTTAAAGTTGTACAGGGGCACAAAGCTGTTCAACGTGTCCAACTGGGTATCACTGTCCAACTGTAAATGTACCTGCAGCACGATGGGCTTCCACGAGTAACACTTCAAGTAGGAAAACTGATCAGGCAGCAAATCAAACGGGTAGCGTTTTATTTCAGCCCTTCCATATTTCTGAAGCTGCAACATATTTGAAATAACAATAGACATACTTATATCACGGAAGCTGTGGTATCTGCTTATCTCTTTATATGTAGCTGCTTTAAGTGAACAGCGAATAGCCTGAATTATTGTAATTCCCACTCTTATTCCTCTTTCTACTACCACTCCCACCACTACTACCCTATCACCACTACCACTACTACTACTATTACAACAACTACTACTGCTAAATCAACTACTACTACTGCTACAACAGCTACTACTACCACTGATGTTCCCTATTACTACGTCTACTTCTGCTACCTCATACTACTAATGATATTACTACTGATGAAATTAGCTGCTACTTCGTATATCTCTATCATTGATTCTCAAACAAAGTCATAGCTTACCAGTTTGACCTGACTTCTGTTCAGCCCCATGTCGTAATAATAGAAGGAGTAGTTGCTCAAATGAGGGAAAATGTATTTGTCCAGAGTCATGATCATCTCTTGGGATTCATCAAAGTGATGCGCTGACGCTGCCATGACAAAAGCATATTTCCTCCTCTCCTGTATGTTGAAAACATCCTTTATCCTTCCCAGTGCCCCCTCTTGTAGTTTGGTTACAGGTGTAAGAATATTGCGGATGTCTTCTAGACTGTCAGCCGCCGGAAGTGGGTGTTTGCAGGCAGCTGTGTCATTGCACATGTCCACTGAAACGTTCATAAATATCCACATAGTGCTGCAGCATCAGAGGGGGAGTAGTTAGGCACCTGCAGGTTACGTCATTCGCTTCATGGCTTCTTAGTCTAGTGATCTGTTTGTTTGTTTGTTTTAGGCCACGGCGGCCTATAAAACATGTCTGGAAGCGCCAGGCAAACCAGTTGTTAATATTATGAGCAACGTGTGAACCAATTCTGACCACCCGTTATAATTTAGTCGTCATAAATAGAGAGCTACACCAACTCTGGTACCCATGACAACAAACGTGTAATATCCCGATAAGGGTTATCATTTCTATAACAGACTTCTCAGAACTAAAACACATTAATAGGAGGTGAGGTGAAATGGGGTTTAATGTCACGTTCAAGACTATTCCACTTATAGAGCTGTCTGAATGCACGTGTGTGTGTGGCTGATTGTGATAGTCTATTGCCGACTGTGTGGTGTAAGTCCTTGTTTTATCCCCGTTGTCGCAGCGCCAGGCATGGTAACGGCGAGCCCCCACCTTCCGTTCCACCCACTACACCACAGCGGCGGTTGTTATTGACATGAAATGGACAAAGACTTTCAATAACAGCATGAACTGATCAAGACTTTTGTAGTTGCATTTGATGCCGGTAATGCTAGATTCATGACAATCTTAAACTTTCACGCTTTCTTTTCCTTGCCTGTGCACCGTGGAAAGGGAGGTAACTCTGACCAAATCTTCTTCTGCTTCAGCGCCGCAAGGGTATCAATAGGAATCTGCTGTTACATATATTGAATTAAACTTTTGTCGACATTCATTGGACAGTTATTGTAGTGTAGCTAACCATGGCGTTCTCGTTGTAATGTTGCTTTACTAAATCTAACTTGTGGACAATTGCAAGACTGCGTTCACTTGATGTCAAAGTTAGTAGAAGTCATCAACACGATAGCTAATGTGTGTCTTTTTCGTTTGTTTGTTTCTTTAACACGGATCTCAGCAATATTCCAGCTTTTTAACGGCGGTCTGTAAATAATCGAGTCTGGACCAGACAACCCAGTGATTGACAATGAGCACCAATCTACGCAATTGGGATCCGATGACATGCATCAACCAAGTCACTGAGCCTGACCAGCCGATCCCGTTAGTCGCCTGTAGTGGTAGTGAAAAAGGTAGTGGTGGATGAAGTAGTAGAGACCTTTCCCATTGATATAGTTACAAATTATCAACATCTTTTGTCGCTAAAGGCGCCGCAATTAGTACTTAGCCAGGATCCGCTGCTCGCTCTGACTATTGGCTTTCGTGGCTTTCAACACAGTGTTGGTTTGCGTCAAATGTGCCGTATACTCCTGCTTACCCTCTGATTTGGGATAAAAAACGTCACTTTCGACATTCGTGTAATTATGAACTTGAACTAGAGATAAAAGAGACCACTGCCGCCTGTTTCATTTTTAGATCTAAAACTTTCCAAGAGACTGCATGACGAGAGGGGTGACTTCAGCTTTCCAGTAGTTTACTTTTCCTTAATGTCGGGCAATATTCCAGCAGCTCCAGCCTTTGGCGTTATTTTGATCAGTGTTACAACATTTAAGGCCTTAGAAAGCTATAGTAAAGCTTTCAAGAAGTTTTATGGCAGACATAGGGAGTTGAATTCAAAGTTTGACGCATCTGTTACCAAAACTTTTTCCGATCTATTATTCTCCACACACACACACCCTCCCCCCCAAAAAACAACAAATTCAACCCGAAAATTCTTGAAAAAAATAACAAATTGAATGCTTCATATTGTTTGACAAAAAGAATTTATCTGCCACAAACATTACATTGTTGCAATGTGTTTTTTAGTAAAAAAAATAATTTTCCTCATAGTTTTTATTTAAAGAATAGATCTGGTTTTGCATCTGTAACTGAAAAAATATCTGGTCTCAATACAAAATCCCAGCCCATTGACGGTCCCTAAGGACCGGATCAAGGAAGCTTCACTGCAGAGCAACTGATATCTTGTTGACAAGTTTAAATATTTCAATTATTCTTGTCACTTCATTGGAAACATATTGTTGATGTACCGTTGTAGTTAAATAAACTCCAGGCACATCGTGATAAATAAGGTGCATGCTGTATCGCGCTGTATATAAATCTCCAGTAAACATGATGCGCCAGACGTGTGGCATGCTCTATCCAAGCCATGTTCACGTAGTTGTTTGATTGGTACCCATACTGTGAACGAGATGTATCGGCCAATACACCTACAGGAGTGGCGGGGGTAGTTTGCTGGGTACAGCGTTCGCCTGTCACACCAAAGGCCCGGGTTCGTCTCCAAGGATTCCCATACTGTTTACTTGCCGATACGGGCCCTGTAGATCCGGGGTAGAATAGGTCTTCAGCAACCCATGCTTGCAGGAAAAGGCGACTATGCTTGCCGTTAAAGGTGACCAACGGGATCGGGTGGTCAGACTCGCTGACTTGGTTGATGCATGTCATCGTGTCCCGCTTTCGTGGATCGATGGTCATGATGTCAATCACTGGATTGTCTGGTCCAGACTCGATTATATACAGACCGCCGTCATATAGCTGGAATATTGCTGAGTGCAGCGTTAAACAACAATACAATAACAACGTTCGTCAATCATTCAGTGTATCGTGACCTTAGATATGTAGCTACTTCCCTTTGTGAAAGGTTCAAGACCATTTGTCATAATAAATAAAAGCAAATATCAAGTTTACTGAGAAAACAATATGTGAAATGCTCGACTTCTTCATTGATAACATCTATATCAATGATGGTCACATAGTAAATTCCGTTCCAATGATTTAATCAAATGAGCTAGAAATTAAAGACACCAGTGAAACCGAGGTGCAAACTGTATTATATTTGCGAAAATGTACCCGCACAGCCATTTGAAAATTAAGGTATTTTATTATACAAAAATTCCATGTGCATTAAACGTCTTAAATAGGAAAAATACTATTAATGAACTACATGTATATGGTTTGGTGTTACCATAAACTATTGCGAACTCCAGAACGACCAAACGCATTTCCTAGCGTAGTATGTAATTATGTGTTATGATAGAATGTCGAGTGACCAGCAGGTATATGTCGTAAGAGTCCACCGTTGAAACTGTGAAACCCACGATCATGTTAGCGAAACACACGAATGGTTGAACCACAAGCAACAAAACAAAAAAGGTGAAAGATTTAAGGTGTCCTAAGTTACATGGGGTGCGCCACCACGGAAAAGCCCCTTTCCCTCCCCTCGCCAACCATACCTCCATCCTCACCACCACCACCACCACCACACACCACCACCACCACCACCACCACCACCATCATCACCACCACCACCACCACGGAAAAGCCCCTTTCCCTCCCCTCTCCAACCATACCTCCATCCTCACCACCACCACCACAACCACCACCACCACCACACACCACCACCACCACCACCACCACCACCACCACACACCACACCACCATCCTCACCACCACCACACACCACACCACCATCCTCACCACAACCACCACCACACACCACCACCACCACCACCACACCACCATCCTCACCACCACCACCACCACCACACCACCATCCTCACCACCACCACCACCCTCACCACCACCACCACCACCCACCACCACCACCACCACCACCATCCACCACCACCACCACACCACCATCCTCACCACCACCACCACCACCACCACCACCATCATCACCACCACCACCACCACGGAAAAGCCCCTTTCCCTCCCCTCTCCAACCATACCTCCATCCTCACCACCACCACCACCACCACCACCACCACCACACACCACCACCACCACCACCACCACCACACACCACACCACCATCCTCACCACCACCACACACCACACCACCATCCTCACCACCACCACCACCACACACCGCCACCACCACCACCACACCACCATCCTCACCACAACCACCACCACACACCACCACCACCACACACCACACCACCATCCTCACCACCACCACCACCACCCACCACCACCACCACCACCACCATCCACCACCACCACACACCACACCACCATCCTCACCACCACCACCACCATCCTCACCACCACCACCACCACCACACCACCACCACCACCATCCTCACCACAACCACCACCACCACACCACCACCACCACCATCCTCACCACCACCACCACCATCCTCACCACCACCTACAACCACCACACCACCACCACCACCATCCTCACCACCACCACCACCATCCTCACCACCACCACCACACCACCACCACCACCATCCTCACCACAACCACCACCACCACCACCACCACACACCACCACCACCACCATCCTCACCACCATCATCACCACCATCACCACCACACACCACCACCACCATCACCACCATCACCACACACCATCACCACCATCACCACCATCACCATCACCACCACCACCACCACCACCACCACCACACACCACCACCACCACCATCCTCACCACCATCATCACCACCATCACCACCACACACCACCACCACCACCACCACCACCACCACAACCACCACCACCATCACCACCATCACTACCATCACCACACACCACCACCATCACAACCATCACCACACACCACACCACCATCCTCACCACACACCACACATCACCACCATCACCACCATCACTACCATCACCACACACCACCACCATCACAACCATCACCACACACCACACCACCATCCTCACCACACACCACACATCACCACCATCACCACCATCACCACCATCACCACCACCACCATCCTCACCACACACCACACATCACCACCATCACCACCATCACCACCATCACCACCATCACCACCATCACCACCATCACCACCACCACCATCCTCACCACACACCACACATCACCACCATCACCACCATCACCACCATCACCACCATCACCATCCTCACCACCATCACCACCATCACCACCATCACCACCATCACCACCATCACCACCATCACCACCATCACCACCATCACCACCATCACCACCATCACCACCATCACCACCACCACCATCCTCACCACACACCACACATCACCACCATCACCACCATCACCACCATCACCACCACCACCATCCTCACCACACACCACACATCACCACCATCACCACCATCACCACCATCACCACCATCACCACCATCACCACACACCACCACCATCACAACCATCACCACACACCACACATCACCACCATCACCACCATCACCACCATCACCACCATCACCACCATCACCACCATCACCACCATCACCACCACCACCATCCTCACCACACACCACACATCACCACCATCACCACCATCACCACCATCACCACCATCACCATCCTCACCACCATCACCACCATCACCACCATCACCACCATCACCACCATCACCACCATCACCACCATCACCACCATCACCACCATCACCACCATCACCACCATCACCACCACCACCATCCTCACCACACACCACACATCACCACCATCACCACCATCACCACCATCACCACCACCACCATCCTCACCACACACCACACATCACCACCATCACCACCATCACCACCATCACCACCATCACTACCATCACCACACACCACCACCATCACAACCATCACCACACACCACACCACCATCCTCACCACACACCACACATCACCACCATCACCACCATCACCACCATCACCACCACCACCATCCTCACCACACACCACACATCACCACCATCACCACCATCACCACCATCACCACCATCACCACCATCACCACCATCACCACCATCACCACCACCACCATCCTCACCACACACCACACATCACCACCATCACCACCATCACCACCATCACCACCATCACCATCCTCACCACCATCACCACCATCACCACCATCACCACCATCACCACCATCACCACCATCACCACCATCACCACCATCACCACCATCACCACCATCACCACCATCACCACCATCACCACCACCACCATCCTCACCACACACCACACATCACCACCATCACCACCATCACCACCATCACCACCACCACCATCCTCACCACACACCACACATCACCACCATCACCACCATCACCACCATCACCACCATCACCACCATCACCACCATCACCACCATCACCACCATCACCACCACCACCATCCTCACCACACACCACACATCACCACCATCACCACCATCACCACCATCACCACCATCACCACCATCACCACCATCACCACCATCACCACCATCACCACCATCACCACCATCACCACCATCACCACCATCACCACACACCATCACCACACACCATCACCACACACCACCACACACCATCACCACCATCACCACACACCATCACAACCACCACCACACACCATCACCACCACCACCACCACCATCCTCACCACCACCACCACCACACCACCACCACCACCACCACACACCACACACCACACCACACAATGTTTCATCCCATCCGCCTACTATGAACTCATCAAGCAATAATCACTTATCCTGTTTAATTGGCTTCATGCTCCATTGTGTGACAGTATTATTCTTCTGTTGTCATTTCTTACTCGTGTTATCCCACTCATGTATGCTATTGTTGTTACTGTTAAATCCTCTAGTGTTAATCCTCCACTGCTATATATATTCTGTACATTGTCCCTCACTCAGTCTTGCTCGACAACGGTATATGTATCTATACCGAAACGTCGCCTTTACAGTATTAAAGAAGTTGTTGTCCATAAAATTGGGGCTACCTTGTCATCTCTCAACAATTCAACTGTGGATCATTTCAAGCAATATATTCTCCCGCATTTGATCTTTGGTCCGAGACAGAGCCTTATGCATGTACTGGCACATCATACTGTTTCATTGAACATTTCACTGAGGTACAATTGTCCTATTTTTCGGGAGACATGTGCGTATTTCTTTTTCTTATATTGTATAGAGTCTATATTCCTTCTGAACAGCTGTAGAAGAATCAAATTGAGGGCTGATTGGTCATACCGGTGACATTTCCCATACTTCCTGGTGCCGAATGAACAAAAGTACAATTTGGTTGCGCCTGGATGACACAAACAGTTTGGGTCCACTGCGCATGACACCCACGGGTCCATTATAAGACGTCTTGTGAATGGCTGGTTGTGTAGCATTATCACATTGGCTTCAGATTCGTGATAAACTGAAAAGTGGCATGGTTCAGTGTTGAAGTAGGAAAACATTTGCTTTGAACAATGTTGTGCAAAAGGATATTTTGGCCATGGCGACAAAAGCACACCTGTTTTTTTCAGCATGTCGAACATTTCACGCAGATTGCCCTTGTCGAACCGTCCAGAGGCGTCCAACCAAAATGTGTACTCCGCATTGTCAAAATGAGCCTGAAAATAACATTATGTGACAACTATTAATGAATGTATATGAAAATACGATATACCGATAAGTGATGGAAAGGAGATAGTGATTGTTTGTAAGTGTTTGTGAGTGTTTATTTGTTTTTTAACCCCGAAAAGCAATATTCCAGCTTTATAGGCGGTATGTAAATAATCGAGTTAGGACCAGACAGTTCATAGATAGACGTCATGAGCATCGCTCCACGCATATAGGAGCCACGTCACCGTGCCTGACCACCCGATCCACTAAACCAACACTTACAACCAGCATAGGTTGCTGGGAATCAGTTCCAAACCGGAGTCCCGATAGGTCCCATGGAAATGATCCTACGAGTTTGATTACTTTTTTTGGGAATGATTATATTGGATAGAATAGGTACGTTTCGTGTTTCTCGCACAAGACTTGTGGCTTGTTCAAGTAATTAAAAAAACACTTATTTGTGGTAGGTTCAGTACATGAAATATAGTTCGACATGTTGAGGTATTTGTGCGTGTGCGTGTGCGTGTGCGTGTGCGTTACAGATATCTCTGCGTGCATGTGCGTGTGCATGTGCAGATATCTAGGTGCGCCTAATACCTGTATCACGACGGGTTTCCACGTGTAACACTTCAAGTAGGAAAACCGATCAGGCAGCAAATCAAACGGGTACCGTTTTATCTCGGCTCTGCCATATTGCTGTAGCTGCAACACATTCGGAATCAATATATATATAATATCAATATATATCAATATACCTACCTTTATCTTTCATCTTTTACAGCTGTATAATCTGTTAATCCCATTATCACAATGAAATTATTAGATGATATATTTTAATTCAAACGCCGTAACGTTTCAAATTGGTTTTTTTATCAATGAAGGTTATGTCGCTTTGGTTTTCACGGTACATGTATTCCTCAATTCCATCCTTCACTAAAAGTAACGATAGACGTTATTCTCGTTACATATACATCGCAAGAGTATTTATGAAAATGATAAGATAATATTTTAACCATCTGTCGTTACGTTTTTCTATTGTAAATACATTTCGTGTCCGCCATGTTTGTTCGTCTAGTGGACGCCGCCATTGTGCAGCCATTCCTTGGTTTAGCGCAGCATACCCAGGGAACCATGCTGGCTTTGAAAATATTTACACTTGTTTAAATAATGATGACTCCCTGATCTCAGCCAAACGTGTGCGAGATATGACAAGTCGGTATTACGAGAAAAGGTACTGTACATATTATTGTTTTGACAACTGTGAGAATATCAGAGAAACACCCGATTCTCCCTGCAGTGTTTTATTGTACGATAAACAACGACCATTCTTTTATTTCTTAAACAAAGTCATAGCTTACCAGTTTGACCTGACTTCTGTTCAGCCCCATGTCGTAATAATAGAAGGAGTAGTTGCTCAAATGAGGGAAAATGTATTTGTCCAGAGTCATGATCATCTCCTGGGATTCATCAAAGTGATCTGCTGACGCTGCCGTGACAAAAGCATATTTCCTCCTCTCCTGTATGTTGAAAACATCCTTTATCCTTCCCAGTGCCCCCTCTTGTAGTTTGGTTACAGGTGTAAGAATATTGCGGATGTTTTCTAGACTGTCAGCCGCCGGAAGTGGGTTTTTGCAGGCGGCTGTGTCATTGCACATGTCCACTGACAAGAAAAGAACGTATTATCGCATTTGAATAATAGAAAGGGAGAACGAGTGTGTGTGTGTGTGTGTGTGTGTGTGTGTGTGTGTGTGTGTGAGAGTGTGTGAGTGTGTGTGTGTGTGTGTGTGTGTGTGTGTGTGTGTGTGTGTGTGTGTGTGTGTGTGTGTGTGTTAGTTACTCATTTAACTACGTTTATAACGAACACGCTTATAACGAACTTACCGATACAGCGAACCTATTTTTAGTCCCGGTCATTTGTTGCATGTATGCTGTATATATGCTTATAACGACCTACGAATATTACAAACTAAAATAAGTGGTCCCTTTGAGTTCGTTATAACCGTAGTTTACTTTAATTTGTCTATGTGTAGGTCAGAGAGACAGACAGACGGACAGACTGACGGACGGACATACACACAGATAGAGCTGAGCGGTGTCTTAAACTTGAACACAAATAAAAGATTTAGGACGTTCGTATCTTGAAAAGTGTACAGACAATCGTAATTCTTTGCATTTGGCAGGAGGAAGTATTAGAGCACAACACGTGTTATTCTTACATGCTTTTTTCTCTTTGCCTGTGCATCGTGGAAAGGGGTGTAGCTCGGACCAAATATGTTTCTTCTTCAGGGCTGACTCACAGAGAGAAAACATTCTAACATAGAAAATGTAACGAACAGGTCTGCAACTAAACGCAACAGTGTTTAGAAAGCGACCACTTGCAAGCTTACAACTGTTGAGATGAATTTACACATGATTGAGATGTTTCTTAACACGACTATGAACAGTATTCCAGTTATATCATGGCATATCAGCTTGATGGGTGAGGAAAGCCCAACGTGATGTAGGTATTAGACGTTTACCACTTTATTTTAACACGACAACGGGAACGGTGCTGTGAACCTTATGATCATGATCAGGGCGAATTAGATATTCAAACCCAAGACAGTGGGGTCATGGCACGCCCAAGGGATGCAACTCTGTACTTTGAACTTATGGTATCAATTATAAGATTTGAAATATTTAATAGTAACGTTTTGTGAAAATATAATATTTCTTTTGTTTTGACATCCATTTATGGGAATTAATCAAATCATTGTCTATTTATTTCTTAGTTATGAAATTATGGAATCTTACTTGCTACTTTCTCCCGAAAAATGTCAACTAGCTGGTTGACCTCGGTTTCGTAATTGGTACTCGACACAAGCTGCTCGTCTGGAATCGTATTGAAAAAAAATTATTAAAGCATTTTATGTATATACACTACAATGCAAACGTTCTGCTGCAAAATTGAAATAATAAAGAAAGAAGTTGCGGACACTCCGCGGGAAAATACCCGCGGATATCTATGGATTTCTGCGAAAGCTAATATATTGTGTCATGGCCCTAATAAAGAGTTTGATGGTACTATCACCTCGTTAACGTGTGACCATGGCAGTACTTTCTTATTAAATACAAAACATCAACACCAGAGAATAACCAGTCTCGATTATCTGCGAAAAAAGAAGCCTATGACATAACAAGCAAACTGCTGGTGAAAATTATGTATAAATGGATCACTGATTCATTGCTGGCACCGTCACATTGCAAGGATAGTAAGTCTGTCCTGCTCTATCGGTAAACACGATACGTCAGCGCCAGAGAACAATCAGTCCCAACCATGGGCCGAAACAGATTCCATTGGACCCAAAAAGCAAACATTTTATCAGTGAAGACACCAGGTGTTCGCGAATAGGGTAAGCATGTCCTGCCCTACCGGTAGCACCCACCACTCATATAATGTGCATAAAAAAGTCAGATTCTGTCTCGACGCCGCACAGCAGCATTCTTGTTATACGACGGTGGCCTGCCAACAATAGATTCCCGATCAATGTGAGTGAGAGAGTTAACGGTTTACATTTCATCGGCAATATTGCAGCAATATCGCGATGAGGACAAGTTAATTATGATTAAACACCTATCGACAAGTATCACAGACAAGGTATACAACTACCCAGACCAAAATTAAAACAAATATTTGTTTCGATAAATTATTTAATATTAATTGATCTTAATTTCTTTTTAAAAGATTATATGAAAAGGCGAGGTGAGGTGAGGTGAAATGGGGTTTAACGTCGCGTCAAAGATTATTGCACTTATATAGCGACTGCATGCACGTGTGTGTGTTTGTGTGGCTGCTTGTACTAGTCCGGACTGATGCCGATTTATAGTGCTAGCACACTGAGATACCATGCCGCAGTTTAACATGAATACCCCACTAAGACACAGTATACTGACTCCGAGCCGAACAGTCCTTGTTTTAGCCCCTTAATGTCGAGCGTCGTAACAACAAGTACTATCTTTTAACGTCTTTTGGTATGACGCGGCCGGGGATCGAACCCCGGAATCCGCTCTCCGGGCGGACGCTCTACCACTAGACCACGGAGGCGGTCTATATGAAAAGCAAAGCAAAATATTTTGTACTGTTTGATTAGACATGTTACATATTGACATAGTAGATGGCATTCGGCAAGACCTTAGTCACGAGTAACAATTCTCATAAGAAAACTTTTACCATTTAGTTTCTTTCTCTGCATTACTGCTGTATGTTCAGTGTCCCTGTGCTCACATTCTGAAAACAAAATGAGAAGACAATTTAAGTACACTTACACATATTTTAAAGATCACTCATACATTCCCATTGTCAAATGACAGCCAAAAACAGAAGGTTTCGGAACCAAAATCTAACGCCCCAAACACCCAAAACATTGCACATTGCACTCCGGGGCATGCTTTATTGAAAGGTAGTTAATACGTTCAATATGTCTCAGTGTGTGATTAGAAGAACAAGTTCCCACAGAGATAAAATGATCGGCCCCGCACAGGGGCCCTAGTTCAACCAGGATTGGTTGATCAGAAACCAGACTTAACCAAATTAAGCCCAAACAGCCAATCAAAGCGCTGATCATGGGCCACAGGTGGCCGGATTTCAAGTTCCTAACCAGACGATTAGAAATCTTTACAAGCAGCTGATCTGCATCTACCAAGGTTTGTACCACCGTTACCAGATCGACACACTCTAGCCAGACATCATAAGTTTTTAGAGCGTAAAAGTGAGGAAATCGAAGATAGTCTCCTATACGATTTACTCGGAACTTTCTGAATAGGCGTGGTCGTGTCTGGAGGCGTCCTTTCGAACGTCATGCGAGCATCAATCTAAGGCAAATGTCTGCAATGATATGGGGATGGAATCACTGCCGGGACGCCACTGCAAAGGGTCCACTTGACTGTACTACCAAGACATCATACTGGCGCCAATAGTTGTGTCGTGTGCGCGCCATCCTGGTCTTTCAAGACGATAATGCCCCTGCCAACAGTGCACGTGTCGCAACTGATTACCACCAGCAGAAAAAAAAACATGACAAGAATGCAAAGGCCAGCCATGAGTTCTGACCTTTTCCCCATACAGCATGTCTGCGGCATGATTGTGTACGACGACGTCAAAGGCCACCCTTAGCCTCTTGTTAGTCGAACTGGATCAGGCGCTGCATGAGGAGTGGACGGGAACCCCGAAAATTGTCATAGGGATTGATTCGGACCATGCCACGCCGTATCAACGAATGTTTGACCAATCATAGGGGCATCGTTCATGATTGATCAAGTCATATCAAACGTTCAAACAAACCCCTGTCGTCTTTCTTGGTTGTCTGCACCATTACCATACAATACCAACATGTTCTATCGATTGTCATTATCACTTACCCTGCACATTCGTGTGTCTTCGTAAAAGCTCCAAATAGCCGACAACATACACCAGGCCAAGTAGTGCCCCGGGAACTGAAGCACAACAAAATACTGTCGAGTGAGGCGATTTATTTATACAGATGAAAACAACAAGTCAAGTGTTCACCCCAACAAACACATGCAATGACAAGTCAAGTGCTCACCTGAACAAACACATGCAATGACAAGTCAAGTGTTCACCTCAACAAACATATGCAATGACAAGTCATGTGTTCACCTGAACAAACACATGCTAGGACAAGGCATGTATTCACCTCAACAAACACATGCAATGACAAGTCAAGTGTTCACCTCAACAAACACATGCAATGACAAGTCAAGTGTTCACCTCAACAAACACTTGCTATGACAAGTCAAGTGTTCACCTGAACAAACACATGCAATGACAAGTCAAGTGTTCACCTGAACAAACACATGCAATGACAAGTCAAGTGTTCACCTGAACAAACACATGCTATGACCAGTCAAGTGTTCAACTCAACAAACACTTGCAATGACAAGTCAAGTGTTCACCTCAACAAACACATGCAATGACAAGTCATGTGTTCACCTCAACAAACACATGCAATGACAAGTCAAGTGTTCACCTCAACAAACACATGCAATGACAAGTCAAGTGTTCACCTCAACAAACACTTGGAATGACAAGTCAAGTGTTCACCTCAACAAACACTTGCAATGACAAGTAAAGTGTTCACCTGAACAAACACATGCAATGACAAGTCAAGTGTTCACCTCAACAAACACATACAATGACAAGTCAAGTGTTCACCTCAACAAACACATCCAATGCCAAGTCAAGTGTTCACCTCAACAAACACATACAATGACAAGTCAAGTGTTCACCCCAACAAACACTTGCAATGACAAGTCAAGTGTTCACCTCAACAAACACATACAATGACAAGCCAAGTATTCACCTGAACAAACACATGCAATGACAAGTTAAGTGTTCACCTCAACAAACACATGTAATGACAAGTCAAGTGTTCACCCCAACAAACACTTGCAATGACAAGTCATGTGTTCACCTCAACAAACACATACAATGACAAGTCAAGTGTTCACCTCAACAAACACATGCAATGACAAGTCATGTGTTCACCTCAACAAACACATACTAGGACAAGTCATGTGTTCACCTCAACAAACACATGCAATGACAAGTCAAGTGTTCACCCCAACAAACACTTACAATGACAAGTCATGTGTTCACCTCAACAAACACTTGCAGTGACACATCATGTGTTCACCTCAACAAACACATGCTATGACAAGTCATGTGTTCACGTGAAAAAAACACATGCAATGACAAGTCAAGTGTTCACCTGAAAAAACACATGCAATGACAAGTCATGTGTTCACCTCAACAAACACATGCTAGGACAAGTCATGTGTTCACCTCAACAAACACATGCAATGACAAGTCATGTGTTCACCTCAACAAACACATACAATGACAAGTGAAGTGTTTCAACCCAACAAACACATGCAATGACAAGTCAAGTGTTCACCTCAACAAACACATGCAATGACAAGTCATGTGTTCACCTCAACAAACACATGCAATGACAAGTCAAGTGTTCACCTCAACAAACACATGCAATGACAAGTCAAGTGTTCACCTCAACAAACACTTGGAATGACAAGTCAAGTGTTCACCTCAACAAACACTTGCAATGACAAGTAAAGTGTTCACCTGAACAAACACATGCAATGACAAGTCAAGTGTTCACCTCAACAAACACATACAATGACAAGTCAAGTGTTCACCTCAACAAACACATCCAATGCCAAGTCAAGTGTTCACCTCAACAAACACATACAATGACAAGTCAAGTGTTCACCCCAACAAACACTTGCAATGACAAGTCAAGTGTTCACCTCAACAAACACATACAATGACAAGCCAAGTATTCACCTGAACAAACACATGCAATGACAAGTTAAGTGTTCACCTCAACAAACACATGTAATGACAAGTCAAGTGTTCACCCCAACAAACACTTGCAATGACAAGTCATGTGTTCACCTCAACAAACACATACAATGACAAGTCAAGTGTTCACCTCAACAAACACATGCAATGACAAGTCATGTGTTCACCTCAACAAACACATACTAGGACAAGTCATGTGTTCACCTCAACAAACACATGCAATGACAAGTCAAGTGTTCACCCCAACAAACACTTACAATGACAAGTCATGTGTTCACCTCAACAAACACTTGCAGTGACACATCATGTGTTCACCTCAACAAACACATGCTATGACAAGTCATGTGTTCACGTGAAAAAAACACATGCAATGACAAGTCAAGTGTTCACCTGAAAAAACACATGCAATGACAAGTCATGTGTTCACCTCAACAAACACATGCTAGGACAAGTCATGTGTTCACCTCAACAAACACATGCAATGACAAGTCATGTGTTCACCTCAACAAACACATACAATGACAAGTGAAGTGTTTCAACCCAACAAACACATGCAATGACAAGTCAAGTGTTCACCTCAACAAACACATACAATGACAAGTCATGTGTTCACCTGAAAAAACACATGCAATGACAAGTCAAGTGTTCACCTGAACAAACACATGCAATGACAAGTCAAGTGTTCACCTCAACAAACACATGCAATGACAAGTCATGTGTTCACCTCAACAAACACATGCTATGACAAGTCAAGTGTTCAACTCAACAAACACTTGCAATGACAAGTCAAGTGTTCAACTCAACAAACACATGCAATGACAAGTCAAGTGTTCACCTGAACAAACACATGCAATGACAAGTCATGTGTTCACCTCAACAAACACATGCAATGACAAGTTAAGTGTTCACCTCAACAAACACATGCTAGGACAAGTCATGTGTTCACCTCAACAAACACATGCAATGACAAGTCATGTGTTCACCTCAACAAACACATGCTAGGACAAGTCATGTGTTCACCTCAACAAACACATACAATGACAAGTCAAGTGTTCACCCCAACAAACACTTACAATGACAAGTCATGTGTTCACCTCAACAAACACTTGCAATGACACATCATGTGTTCACCTCAACAAACACATGCTATGACAAGTCATGTGTTCACGTGAAAAAAACACATGCAATGACAAGTCAAGTGTTCACCTGAAAAAACACATGCAATGACAAGTCATGTGTTCACCTCAACAAACACATGCTAGGACAAGTCATGTGTTCACCTCAACAAACACATGCAATGACAAGTCATGTGTTCACCTCAACAAACACATACAATGACAAGTGAAGTGTTTCAACCCAACAAACACATGCTATGACAAGTCAAGTGTTCACCTCAACAAACACATACAATGACAAGTCATGTGTTCACCTGAAAAAACACATGCAATGACAAGTCAAGTGTTCACCTGAACAAACACATGCAATGACAAGTCAAGTGTTCACCTCAACAAACACATGCAATGACAAGTCATGTGTTCACCTCAACAAACACATGCTATGACCAGTCAAGTGTTCAACTCAACAAACACTTGCAATGACAAGTCAAGTGTTCACCTGAACAAACACTTGCAATGACAAGTCATGTGTTCACCTCAACAAACACATGCAATGACAAGTCAAGTGTTCACCTCAACAAACACATGCAATGACAAGTCAAGTGTTCACCTCAACAAACACATGCAATGACAAGTCAAGTGTTCACCTCAACAAACACATACAATGACAAGTCAAGTGTTCACCTCAACAAACACATGCAATGACAAGTCAAGTGTTCACCTAAACAAACATATGCAATGACAAGTCATGTGTTCACCTGAACAAACACATGCTAGGACAAGGCATGTATTCACCTCAACAAACACATGCAATGACAAGTCAAGTGTTCACCTCAACAAACACATGCAATGACAAGTCAAGTGTTCACCTCAACAAACACATGCTATGACAAGTCAAGTGTTCACCTGAACAAACACATGCAATGACAAGTCAAGTGTTCACCTGAACAAACACATGCAATGACAAGTCAAGTGTTCACCTGAACAAACACATGCTATGACCAGTCAAGTGTTCAACTCAACAAACACTTGCAATGACAAGTCAAGTGTTCACCTCAACAAACACATGCAATGACAAGTCATGTGTTCACCTCAACAAACACATGCAATGACAAGTCAAGTGTTCACCTCAACAAACACATGCAATGACAAGTCAAGTGTTCACCTCAACAAACACTTGCAATGACAAGTCAAGTGTTCACCTCAACAAACACTTGCAATGACAAGTAAAGTGTTCACCTGAACAAACACATGCAATGACAAGTCAAGTGTTCACCTCAACAAACACATACAATGACAAGTCAAGTGTTCACCTCAACAAACACATCCAATGCCAAGTCAAGTGTTCACCTCAACAAACACATACAATGACAAGTCAAGTGTTCACCCCAACAAACACATGCAATGACAAGTCGAGTGTTCACCTCAACAAACACATACAATGACAAGCCAAGTGTTCACCTGAACAAACACATGCAATGACAAGTTAAGTGTTCACCTCAACAAACACATGTAATGACAAGTCAAGTGTTCACCCCAACAAACACTTGCAATGACAAGTCATGTGTTCACCTCAACAAACACATACAATGACAAGTCAAGTGTTCACCTCAACAAACACATGCAATGACAAGTCATGTGTTCACCTCAACAAACACATACTAGGACAAGTCATGTGTTCACCTCAACAAACACATGCAATGACAAGTCAAGTGTTCACCCCAACAAACACTTACAATGACAAGTCATGTGTTCACCTCAACAAACACTTGCAATGACACATCATGTGTTCACCTCAACAAACACATGCTATGACAAGTCATGTGTTCACGTGAAAAAAACACATGCAATGACAAGTCAAGTGTTCACCTCAACAAACACATGCAATGACAAGTCATGTGTTCACCTCAACAAACACATGCTAGGACAAGTCATGTGTTCACCCCAACAAACACATGCAATGACAAGTCATGTGTTCA